CAGCAGCAGCAGCATCATCATCGGCAGCAGCAGCATCATCATCATCCTCCACCGTCCCAACGTCTGCCGCTGTGGCGTGTGCCATGCCCATCAACACTAGACATAATCCTGACTCACCAACAAGCACCAACACCACCACCATTAACAAGAGTGACAAGGACCTGGTCTATACCTGTCCTCATTGCGATCGCACTTTCACTTCGCACATCCGCCTGGTCGGTCACCTACGAACCCATCGCATGGCGACTGGTGAACCAGTGTCTAGAGCACCCACCTCCACCCGCTGCATCCGGCTCCACGGTCCACGCTGCCTTCACACATCCATGCAGCGCAGGTCTACTATTACCATGACTTAATTGGCGCGCACATCAGCGTGCCTGTTGCACCTTGTTGTGGAGCACACGGTGGACATCGTCGCAATCGACGGTCGGGCTGTCAAGCGGAAGACTTTCGACACTAATAAATAAGGACGTTATACACGTGACTTGCCATCGGCAGCGGGCCTGAAGAAATCCTGCTTATCATTTGCATCGTAGACTTCCTGGCTTTGCAGCTGTTCCCCGGTGGCGAAGGTGAAAACCTGGCAGCGGTCGGTCTCCACCTGCCAGACAAAGAGACGCGGGTCGGGTAACCACGTCAGCTGTTCACCCGCAGTTATGAGGCAGCGCGATTCGGCAGCCTCCGTGGTCCTCCGTGCATCCGGTCGCCCAGCCGCAGACGCGCCAGCAGCAGCAGCAGTGGTAAGACTGAGTGCAACCAGAGAAGCCGAAGCGTTCACCGAGAGCCAGGAGACCCGCACCCGCAAAGACGGAGTCTCGGTGCCGGCTGTCACTTGGACGGTGGGTACAAACGGCGCCAAAACAGTTTCGTAGTGTTTAGAGCAGGACAACTGTTTAACTTCCCTTTGGGGAAAATCAAAAATAAAAGCGCATCGATAATCCAACCTTCAGTTAAACAAACTTTTGAAATGAATGAAGGCGAAATTTCGAGTTCCAGGTGTATGCGTAAGTGAAGAAGAAAAGTCGAGCATCGAAACACTATGTTTCTTGTCCTGAACTTTCAGACTCGTACAGGAGTCCATCGTCAGAAGTAGTAGTAGAAACAGAACAAGCGACGGTTATAAGGCATGCAGACCAATCATCGACCGACGGCGCAAGACGCAAGAAATAGTCGCCTACTCCAGAAACAAAACAGACCCAGAATTGGTTGAAGCCTGGGCCTCGGATGAGAACTCGGTCAATCGATTTATCGATTTGGCGCCGGCTTAAAGAGCCCTGCGTAGTCACCCCAGGTCTTGCGCCGTCGGTCGATGACTGGTCTACATGCCTTATAAATGTCGTTTGTTCTGTTTCTACTACTACTTCTGACGGTGGACTCCTGTACGAGTCTGAAAGCTCAGGACAAGAAACTAAGAGTTCCGGTGCTCGACTCTTCTTCTTCACTTAAACTTTTGAAATTTTAAGGGTGAAATGACCTTCCCAGTCAGTCGTTTTAAATACGGCTTAAGTTCTACCAAAATATTAGTAATTTCACGGCAGGAACCGGGGCTGAATTGGTTCGTAGTAAGCATTATCCTCGGACCGTGATCTGGCACTCACACAGATTTCGTTTTCAGCAATGTTAGAAAACTGTTATACAAGAGGAAGAAGTTGTGAAGTCTTTTGAAGGTTGAACGGAAGGCAGCTTGCCAGTATTTCTTTGTTCCACTCATAGTATTATACTGGCGTTAGCAAATATTAATCAAATTTTCTTGTGGAATGCAATCTAGGACTAGAATTGTGACCAGATCGATGAAAGCTGAAACAGCCCCCATAAACAGACAGTATCACTTAACTAAAATCGTAATATTATAAAGCATGGATAGTTGGCTCGAGCAGGTTCGTACAGCATAAGATTTTGCCTTTTCATCGTCAATTTTCCCATCTACATGTCTCAACATGTTTTACAAAGTAGCACTGTTTAGATAAGATATTTATGATTGGGTCGTCTTCTTTACTTAGGAAGTTTTGGTCACTGGTTAAATTCCTCCAGCAGTGTCATTTGAACGTTCTTAATGATAGGCAACATTTCAAAAAAGGAAAGCTTCCGGTCTTCATGGTCTCAAATTTCTAGATGTTGTGAGCTAATTATGTCAAATATCTGCAGCGTTCTTAAGTTAGATTTTGAAGAATGTCGACTGTGGAAAAAATATCTAAAAAATACTCAGCTAAGGTTTCATAGAAGAATTAATAAACCGCGATCGTTTGTCCAGATAACAATATACCAGACGATTTTTCCAGATTGAAGAATGTTTCAAACACCAGGTACACTCCAATTAAATGAACTGCTGAAATGCTAGAGGCGAAAGGACATTTCCAGTCAGTAGCTTTTAATGCGACGGAAGTTCTCTCAGAAGAAAAGTGACTTTACACTGGCCCTGGAATACAATCGAAGTAGGTGCCTATGACAATTCGTAACTAAAAGTCATGAATGTACTACGTTAGAGATTCAGGAATAGGGCTGTCTGACTCAAAACGTTTCTCCTTTAGACAGTGTTTTCAAGATTTTAGCCAGTGTTTGATAGATCGTAATGCATATTATGCACGAAAATTTCATTCTGTGACGGTCTATATAACCTAGACTTCCCATTGTTCTCCTTGCCATTCACCAAATAGCAGAAAAATACGTTTCACAGGATCCATAACTCCGATTGCGTATTATTTTTTTTCCTTTGAAAATCGCCCACGAATCCGTATGAGTTGAGCAAACTCCTTGATTTTCCCAAGACTGCTATAAAAAGCATTCAGTGGCTTTCAGCTTCTGACTTACGCATTTCCCGTTAGGCCTTTTGCGCTAAGTGCACTGGATCATAAAATATGACTTAGACGTTAATTTTGCATTCCAAATTAGCTCGCCCTAAGGTAAATGACAGGAAAGACCCAACGAACGGTTACAGACGCGAACGTTTTCGGTATATTTTTGCGCTTAGTGTCAGGGGAGCATGTCCTGGAACAGCGTCTGATATTCGCTGAATATTCATCTACTATGTGGCAATGTAGACTACAGGAAATAGGATAATTATCACAAGAGGAAGACGAGCATTTTGGGTGGCACTGCAATATCGAGTCGAAATATGCGCCGTGCTCAATCAGTAAAGTACGGTCGACGCGTCTCCCATTTGTGCCACACGGGGTTACCTGCCGTGAATTTCCCAATTCCCTACAATTTAAATTGAGAAATTAATTGCTACTTATTCGTTTTGAGTACATCGAATATGTGGCATAAAATAGGGGACCAAAGATATTCTACCGTACTGGGGGAAAACAGCCTTGCTGTGATCGAATATTATTTGCCTTTCTTTTGCGGTTTTTCTTCGAGCTTTTGCCTTTATGCAGTTTTCCGATAACCGCAGATTCGTAGGACCAAGTGTGAAAAAAGACAAACAAGTGCCGATGTTACTGATAATCTACAGATCGCCTGTTTGCGAGTTCCAACCTTTATTCCCTTTGCCGGAACAATGAGATGTAATATTTTTGTCACTAGAACTCGCTGGGGGGGGTAATACTGAGATCTTCTTGCCACTGAAGCAGATTATGTCCAGTGCCTTGGTGGGGTTGGGGATTCGCTAGATCGGACTTTCATAAAATTGTTAACAACCGATGTAACTATGTTCATTAGGGCTAGAGTGGTTATTGAAAGATAACGTAGAAATTTTATAAAATCAAATAATAACGAATAAAAGCCAACCTTCTGGTCAAGTCAAATGTTCTCAAATAGCCTTCATCTGTTAAACAGGCCATAAAACCGCTGCAAGAGCATACAGAAGATATCTCGCCTTCGTTTTCGGAGAAATTTATCAACTGTTTCACGGTGCCCTAAAACATGGGAGACGCGATGTAAAGATGCAGTTGACATAAATACATAAAAATTTATATGAAGTGGCTTAGAGCTGTTCTAACAACAAGCTGGCGAGCATTTGCATTTCACTTATTTACGTCAGTCTCTCACATTACTGTAAAATCCCTGTTTCATAGAACCCGGTTATTGAGAACAGAATCAGGAAGTAGCATACAGTCTCATTAACCACTGCGCCCATATCGATCTCCACTCCAAATGACGGTCCCTTGCCGATGAGTCAGGGTATGTACGAAGAAGGCGAGAGAGACTAACGTCGCACAAGTCTGTGGCTCACATTATTTACAACGTAAGCGCGATCATACTAACGTCATTTCACAACTGGCCAAAATGAATGTTATTTGGAGAGAAACAAAGTTGCCAACCGGTCAAAATTACCGTTACATAGAGTATGCTTGTTGGATTTTCTACAGCACATAGTAAGCGGCCTAACTCATGAAACTTGTTGACAAAAGCTGATGTGAGAATTTTCGGACGCAGTAACGCTACGCACTTTGCTCACTCATCCGGTCGCTTCGAGTAAATACCCTTTTAGAATTGTGAAAATTTCCATAGCAATATTCAGAAGACGAGGTTGCGAGCAAACCTTACTTTCGATAACTTCTCTTCAGGCCGGTACAATTATATGGGAACGCGTTAAAGGGATTAAAAAATCGATAAACGTTAGTTTTAAAACACAGACTAGGCAAGAGCGGAAGGGCGCAGAAAGTCGTATGTGGTTAGTCAATCTTTGACCACTGTAAGCGCGGAGCCTGAACGAGGTTTTTTTGGGTGCATAGGATCGGTTTTCGTAACCTGATGGCGGCCGCTTCTGCTGTTGCTAACAGGTGCTGACCCCGGAAGTTAAATAAGTTACCGTGACCTCTAACACCTCCAGCCAGTCGGCACACATATCCCTCGACTATATGGTCTACCTGAGATCCATGAGGAAGGTCTACCAGTTTGTTCGATTTCAGATATGCGAAACTCTCCCTATCATGCGATAGCAAAGTGCTTAGCAGAGAAACTCAAGCCCATACAACATCAGATAGCACCACGCAGCTATCGAGATACCTTTCAATTCATTGACGACATTAAAGACCTCAATCTTAACGGCATGATTATCTTCTTACTAAACTTTGCATCAATGTTTACAAACGTCCCGGTCACCGAGACAGCTGATTGCATCTGTGATTTTCTATCTGCCAATCAGCATGAAATAGGAATGCTCACGAACACACTAAAGGAACAATTATTAAGGTAACCATTAAATGTGCAGTTCCTTTTTGACAACCAACTCTATGGACAAATAGACGGCGTTGCTATGGCCTCGCCTCCTGGAACTCTCTTAGCTGACGTCTTCATGGGCAAACTGGATAGAGTTCAACCAAGTGATCAGATCGGCAAGCTCAAACACTACGGTCGCTGCGTTGACAATATCGTTGCAATTGCTAACGCAGAAACCAACGTTGCTGCCCTCTAAATTTCTGCAAATCGAGTATATCCGTCGATTAAATTCCCGTTAGAGATGGAATCAGCCGGTTCACTTTCTTTCGTAGATCTCCTTCTAAACAGGAGACGTGACGGTAACATCTGAAGGAGCATCTATCGGAAGAAAACCTGGTCTGGACAATAAACGAACTTCGCTAGTTTCGTACCCCTCCAACAAAAACGAAATCTAGTCAGGTGTTTGGCACAAAGGGCTAGAAAAAATTGCTCAACAGATGGTATCGTGACAGATTCATTGCAAATAACTTTGCCGAACGACCCGTAAAACCCACCACACTGAGCGCCGAAACGAAGAACTTTGTTCCTCAGAGTTCCTTCCCAAGGAAACGCTACGAGTGAACTCCCAAGAAGACACCTTGATCAAGCTGTCTCGAGAATCTGCCCAGCAGCAGGGGTTGGCATATTGTTTTCCACTAACCCAATTTTACGCGGATAAGGCAAGGATAGGCTGCCACCTCAGACCAGTTCGAAGTGGTGGCTACAGACGCATGACGAGTGCTCGGTGGAGACTGTACGCCACGGTCGATCTGCCGCGCAGTCCTCGCCCAATTTTTTCATTATACAAAAAAACCCGAAACGCCAAAAGCACTGGACCAGAAGAATTCCAACGACAGCGTAACTAGGTCATCTGCATGAAGGGCGAGGTCGTAATGACTCCTTCGGTAGCATCAAAAGGAGCGATTATCGGAAGAAAACCTGGTGTGGACAATACACGATCTTCGCTAGTTTCGTATCCCTCCAACGAAAACGAAATCTAGTCAGGTTTCTGGCACAAAGGGCTAGAAAAATTTGTTAAACAGATAGTATCGAGGAGGAACCTAGAAAAAACCAGCATTTACTTCGCGAAAACGGGTATCCTGACAGGTTCATTGCAAAGGACCTTGCCAAACGACCCGCAAAACCCATCACAGTGACCGCCGAAAAGAAAATTTGTTCCTCAAAGTCCCTTTCCAAGGAGACGCTGCAAGTGAACTTAAGATAACGCCTTGACCAAGCTGTCTCGGGAACCTTCCCAGCAGTAGGGGTTCGCACATCATTCTCCACTAACCCTATTTTGCGCGGATAAGGCAAGGATAGGCTGCCACCTCAGACCATCTCAATGTGCATCTACTCATTCACTCACTCTTGTGGAGCAGGTTATATTGGTCACACGAGTCAACGTCTATCCAAAAGAATACGAGAGCACCTCCCAGCATGGCTGGCAAAAAGTGAAACAAGGAGAATAGGCAGCGCCATCCTTGCGCATGCATTGGATTCAGGGCATCGTGTGGACCCCACTGAAGCATTTATAGGGCCCCCTCGAACTACCCTAAGCTATTGGGCCAGCGCCTATTAGCAACAGCAGAAGCGGCCGCCATCAGGTTACGAAAGCCGACCCTATGTGCCCAGAAGAACCTCGCCCAGGCTCCGCGTTTACCGTGGTCAAATGTTGACTGACCACATGCAACTTTCTGCGCCCTTCGGCTCTTGCCTAGCCTGGAATTTAAAAACTAACTTTTATCGATTTTTTGTTCACTAACCGTACCCCGTCCTGTGCCGGCCTGAAGAGGAGCTATCGAAATCAACGTTTGTTCTCCACCTCGTCTTCGGAATGTCCTTTTCTCGTACAGAAAAGGTGTCTAAGCAATTTTCTTAAACACAGTTTGCATAGACTTGAGTGAAAATGGACGTTGTGATATATTTGGGCGATTTCCTATGCAAATACCCGAACTAGACTTCGATTTCAAATCTGAACGCGTTTCTCTCAGAGGGGAGAATAATTTACTTTCGAAAGTTCTAACCTGAGCTTGCCGCACTGGAGAATTGATTTTTCGTCTGATGCTACCTGTGGAAATCATATTACTAACACAGAGGTTATTTCTAGAGAACCAGGGGTTTAATCGATTCTAGAAGCCAGATTAGCAAGTCTGTGAGATGTTCACGAAATTTTCTGATTTTCTTTAAACATTGGTATTTCTAAATAACGTAATCTCACCTATAATATTCCTTTTACGCTTTCAATTACCTTAAAAGTTTTATTTATCAGCATAGGTATTGGGTTCATAAATTGGTGCCGGTTTGCGAATGATCAGCATTAATTCGTAAATTCCGATACCAATATTATTTAAACTAGGCTATGGTTCAGGTAGGCCGGATCAAACTGAGACGCGACACGCGCCTGTGGGGTAACAGGGAGTGCGCACGAGCGTATAACTACTGCCCAACAAGTCTGTGACAGGTCTAAGACGCATGCCCTCCCACCAGGCTAGCCACTGCGCCCAATCATAACACTCGTTGTTTGACAGGCTCGGACGGTCGACTGGTGTCTGGAAGAGGGGAGGGAAAATAAGGCCGACACTGCGGAATCCAGTTCCACGGAAAATTCGCCCAATCCTCACTACAATGAACTTAACGCGCATGAATCTCTCACCACGCACTAGGAGTCATGGCTTGGAAGGTCGCTAACTGAGAGGACACCTCGACCCTTCTCAGGTCTGGGAGTCAGACTACAATGACTCTCTCCAAATGTGATTCTCATGGTACTTTTAAGTATGTGCGATTCGAGCCGCCTATTTCCGCGAAAATTTGGTACACTGTGCGGATACGAGGTCGATAATGGAAGGTGTATACGGACTGCTTATCTTTGTCAGTCACCAGGCTCGAGTTCACCTCAAGTCGTACTGATATTGTCCTACCATTGGAGGAAGGCAGGTGACAGAGGGGAGGGTGCGGCAAATGCAGCGCATGTCTATTATCACCAAAAACTAATTCACTGGCAAATTAACCGTCCTGTCTGCATAATTCTCTGGGGCGCACAGCGGCACGTCGTCGTTCGCGACGATCAACTGTCACGTGAGGGAGATTTCAACTGGGTTGCGTATTGCTTCGCGCCTGAAGTACCCGCCCTCACTAACTTACACGCGAACTTGGTTCAAGTACTCTCGGTTATCAAAGTGTTAGTAAAATTGAGGGCCTAACTTTACTCGAATATTCACCTGACTTTGGCCGATTTTGGCGCGCTTTGTTCGTCTACGTACTGCAACCGCCCGTCATATAACCACCGCAGAAAGACAGCAAAGCTGACCAGACTTAAGGTTTACTTAGAAAGACAAAAGGGACTTGAAGAATGAGAAGCCTAAACATACCTGGAAATTTCGGACCTGTAATTTGTATGATTCACGCGTGAATATGCTACCCTCATACATGCCGACCAGTTGAAATTCGCAGGCAAAGGATGCTGAAAAGGTTCACAATAAACGGACAAATTACAAGTGAGGACGGAGGCGTGGGCGGCAATAATAAATTATTAAAATACCAAAAATATTTTTCAGTCAAATTGCAAGTGCTGTCTTTTCGGTTTATTTAGTAAAAGGTCAGTTCGCCAGAAAAATAACAAAAAACTGAGCGGATTTTTTGGGAGTTTAGAAATACACAGTTTGACACTGCGAAAGTTCTCTACGTCCGTTGCCGCAGTGCAGATTTGTCGCGCTTAGTAAAAAATGTAGGGAAGGGTAGTGCCTGTTTAACTTTAAAAGGAATGGTAGGCTCTTTTATTCTTTTTGGATCGACATCGATAAAAGTACCGGTTGTGGTACGGTGTTGATTACCGTAAAATTGGTGCCATTTGAAAAATTCGTATTACTAACAACAAAGATAGTAGCCGTGGTGGATGCACTAAACACTGCTCCCAAAGGCATTAGTAATGCTAGCAGCAAGTTAAAATCAGGCCTTACATTTTCTCTAATGTGGGGTAGGCTTTCTTCTTTCGCATAGAAAAAGATTTAGAAGACAACTACAGACAAAACAGAGCTCAATAACTAAGGAAACGTCTCCAAAGCAAGGAAAACAAAACATTCACCAGTTTGAACTTACAGAAAGGTTCGAGGCCGTTATCGATGCTATGCTTATAGACACGTAGTTGTCTCCCATTCCACGTAGACACATATTCCTTGAGGGAAATATATGCTGATTTTCAGGCATGGTCAGATTTAGTCCTGGGAGATAAAGGCTACTAATGATTAAAAAAATTGTATAAACACTGGTACGGTGAGTGACCGCTCTCATGAAATGTTGGCTGAAATTCTGAAATGTGTTTTCGATTGGGAAGGATTACCTAAGCACGGTTGTAATTTTGATTATCTTACGACATAATCCTATAGTATTTCGGACTCGGCAAGATTTCAGCTTTTGAATGCACAAATTTTTAATCTCCTGTATTAACAGAACTCGGTAAAAAATGACTACTTAATTAGCGTGCATTTTTCCCTTTGATTTTCGATGGTCTTGCAAATTAAAATATATTTTATAGAAATCACGAAGAAAATATGCTTTCATTCGGTCGCTGGATAGAGAATCACGTCTTTTTTATATTTTATGCTCGAAAAAGGAGTATCAGTGGGTTTTAAAGAAGCTTTCCAATTCCCGAATAATTTGGAGACTGATCAGTCGTTGCACCAGCGCTTATTGATTTCAGTCTGCAAGGTGCATGCGGTCCGCGTAATGAAAATCACACATTCTTTTATACTCTCAAAACGATACCATATAAAATCCACAAAATTTTGCAGTGAAAGCGGACCATGTTGTACATTTCACGAGGAGCAGTGGTAAACGGACAGGCACGATGCTATATGAATGGACATTGCATAGTCTTAAAAAACCTTATAATTAGAAACTTTTTAAAACCTAATTGTACCCCTTCTTTAAATAAGTGCATAATATCAACTGAGATATCAGACAGAGGAGAACGAATCAAGTAACCCTGCTGCAAGTGACACTATCGTAGAAAATGACTTAACTGTGAGTGGTGTATTAAATGCCAGTGGCATAAATTCTATCGTGTTTGTCGTTGGGACATTTCTCTGAAGCGGCCTATTTGACGCTATCCGGCAGAGACATTTATTATTCGTCAACGATCCAGCTATAACATAAAGTGGAATCAGTTGAGTGTTGGGTGTTATCTGAAGTCTACGTCGAGGTCAGATTTTCAGCTCTCAGCTCAATCACCGGAACAACTTTTAAGCGTTGATTATTCATGAAGAAAATCGTTCCTTCGTCTATGCTGACTTTGCGTTCACTCCTACATACGCTACCCTCAAATGTTTTTTGTTAAGTCAGACCAGAAAGGCGACTCTTTCAGTAGTTAGCCTAAGATCATGCTAACTAAGATAAGCGTAGGAATTAAGACTTTGTTGATGGAATTCTAAATCACATGTCCCTTAGGAAACACGGACGATACAACTGGAGAAAAAATGCCTTAGGAAATGTGCTGCGAACTGAATAACTTGAGTTTGAGGGATAAAGTGAGATGTTGGCAAATTACTGTCTGAAAAAATCACTTAGGATGTAGTAATTTACTTACCCTTGTACAAAAGCATCCTCGAAGCTGCTCTTCAACGGCGAGAATATTCTGAGAAACATCGACTGGTTTTGCAAAGTTGGCAGTCAAAGCCGCGCTCCCAGCGGTGCCCACTAGAGAGGCGCGAATGCTGGGTTCATTAGGCTTAGTAAGTTTACGCAGGTCTGACGACATCACAACCATTTTTTGAGGTGAGATCTGGACAACCGCGCTGCCATAGCCGCCCAAGTTGACACAAAGGGGTTGTTGATTCAGAAGGAAGACGCCGAATTTCGTTTCATCCTCTAAAACTGGATAAAATCGCGACTCTGTACTGAGGAAGGGGTGTCGTCAAAAGATCCGGCTAGTCGGTGTTGCTGAGTTAGTGAAAGACGAGCCAAGAAAGCAGTAGAAGAACCCGATCAGGGGACAAATAACCTGATCATCTTGTTTTATGGGGGGGACTAAACGGCGGAAAGGAGAGCGCGATAGTAGGTAAACGTTCGGATAAATGTCGGGGTGGTATATTGCGTGCTCTTCCTAAATTTCTCTACAGCTACTTGCAAAAGAGCACGCGTGTCAAGAACCCAATCCCCGAGGACTGATGAGGGTATCCAGATATTTGATAGTGCAAGCAAAAGTTGAGCACTTTTCACAGTTCCTCCAATTTGTTTTCACAAAAAAAGTTGATTAGACTTCATCTAGTTACGAGAGCACGGAAGCCCCAATTATAAAATAGACAATATGCTGCGATGAACTGGTTAATGTTTTCTGTATGGTGACGCATACTGCGTCCTTGCCGAAGAAAATCGAAAGATAGTAATTCTGTGTGAAATACTGAAACACGCTTTCGGAAAGTTTAGGTGAAAAAATAAAAATTGAATGTCGCTCACGTCGGTCGTCAATCGGATTTTTTGGAAAAAAGACACAAGAATAAATGACAAAGGCAGTATTACAGCGTAGAAAAAGGGATCTGAGGGACTACTCTGGCCATAAGTCAGTCTTCCATGCAACAGTATATCGACTCTGCAGAAATTCCTATTCTCCACCTGTAAACTATCTTAGTAAAATGATTTATAATGCATGACCTGGGTTCTCCGATCCACTCGTCTCAGCTAAGTAGACGGCGGTTATAATTTAAAAGAAAGTTAAATCTGTATACATGTGGTTTTTAACAAAAACTTACCCACACAAGTCTCATCCGCGCCTTCGGCCGCATCATAAGTGGCAAGCAGTCTGCCCTCAAAGTTATCCCAGGCAATAAGCCGGACCGAGACGTTGCCACTTTCGCGCAGATTTTCGTCCGCGTGATTACTTAGCAGGTCAATGATTGGTTGAGCATGCCAATGTGATGCGGGTTCAAAAACGGCAGAACCAGTTTCAGCGGTTAGGGAGCCTGCAGTGGAACAGAGGCTCCGCTGTTCCGCATCGACCGGCTGAACCTTGGAGTGCTTCGGATTTGAAACCTTCCGCCAGATTGCGATTTGGCCGTTACTTAAACCGGCCGCAAGTAGCCCTTAAACGAAGAGTAGAACTCCATAGCAGCGCCGGGTTGACTTGTTAATAAGCAGAAAGCACAAAACGACTATGCTTAGACATAAAGTAGAGTTTAAATATGTGTTATCATAACATCCAGTGCGCAAAGAACAGGAAATGGGTAAACGAATGAAACGTACTAAATTTCGGACAGTATGTGATCCGAGTAATTCGAACGGAAGTTTGTTGATCACTAGTGGTCGATAGACTGGGAGTTAGTGTATAATTGTCCGATTTCGATATGTCCCAAAACCGGATGACGTTTTCACCAAGGGCCATTGCAAGTGTCATTTCACCGGCCCAGCCGAAACTGGGTTCACTGCTTAGTTTTGAAGCCAGTTTTAACTAAATGAATTTTAGAAAAAAGGTGTTTATTTTTAAGTTCGGAGAAACTGATTCTAGACATGTTTTAAATGTTGTGTACATCGTACAACACAAGGAGCCTGGGAAACTAAGCAAAAAAGCATAAATGTAAACAAGCAAATAAATTTTATTTGAAATTTTGTCGAAGACTACTAGCGGTGTGGGCAGACCGATTTTGAAAAGAGCACAATGACCTGTTAAACATTGTCTTCAACAACCAGTTACTGGTGTCAAATATCTGTCCAACGAGCAAGGTAATTCGTGATCAATATTCACAGCGTTCCACTGATTTATCAGTTAAACTGTCACAAATGTGTAACTTGATATAACCGAACCAATTAATCGCTAATGAAAACACTGCAGACCCCTGTATCTTGACTGACTTTTCCCAAAACTATGATTCTCCGAAAGTGATTTGTCGCTCGAGCGTAGTTGTTAACGGAATGCACGATGGAGTAATAGGATTTGTGCTGCAGAACGCCAAAGAAATAGGACTAATTTTTAATCATTGCACAAGTGTCTGAGCAACTGTATATGCACTCCGGTTAGGAATGTTGTGAAAAATGGGATCCGACCCCCGGTGGGGCCTTAGATTTCACCGATACTGCAGGATTGAGCAAAATGTCTTCCCAGGAGAGATAAACATTATCATCTTGCTATCAAAATCACTACAAATTAATCAAACGGCAACAGAGGTAAAATATCTGGAAGGCAAAGTTGATGCCAAAAAATATTATTACCAGGTGTTAGAGTTGCGTATTGTATTTGAGATCGGTGATTGCAGAAGACTCAAGTACAAGTCTGAACGACATCAAAGATTACATGATCGAGCAGTTTCTATCAGCTTACAAACGCCTAGTCCGCTTGAACTAATATGACGATAATCCCGGAAAGACAAGATTTGTCGCAGTCTGTCAGGCTTGTCCATAGGTGGTTAATTGTAAACAGACATCCAGCTCGGACTTGCTGAGAAATAAGCTGGCTCTCGCGGACCGTAAATCAGCAATGCCAACAGACGCGGTTGGGAACCATTCCGGCAGCCCAGTTACCCATAGAACGATTACAAGCTAAAACAGCATGCGAAACGTTGCTCCCCAGCAAGCTGCGCTATCTGTATGCGTTGTCTTAGCCCAGATAGAACCAGAGGCCATGTCTCCGTAAATATTCACGACCGCTCAAGACTTATGCCGGAGCCTTTTAATCCGAACAAACTATCATGTGTACTAAATGAGGCAAAGTAAGTGGGGTATTTTTAGGGTGTTGTAAATAAATGAGTAAACATATGGTAGAATGAGATGCGATGAGCTAACGACGCCAGAAATTTTTCCGTTCTGAGAGGGACTAACATCAAACGTCCCGATGAAGCATGAATGACCGGAGATATTTAACTAAGACAAGGAATCCAAAGATGACCAAATGTGTTATATTCAAAGGCAAGTTTCTAAGCTGGTAGTTAGTGAGAGCAAGTACGATGTAAAAGGCTTCTTGATACTAAAAAGCAACTGTACCTAACTTTATATTTTCACAGAGCAAAATGCCCGTCCCGCACTATCGGCACTTTGCTCATGCAAAATAACTTATAAATACCGCTGTAATAGGCAAAAGTCTCTGTTGTATTGCTATATATTTTGGTAATGAGATGGGTAATAACAAGCCGCAAAACCCCGTGGAATTCCTCGCAAAACAAGTCAAAGCTTTTCACCAGTACACATATAAAAAGACTTCTGTTTGTAGCTGTTTTTTCCAATAGGAACGCTGTTTAATATTAATCGAACCTAATTCCTATTCCGCTATTGCATACTAAGAGGATTGGCTAATTACCGATCCAGCGTAATTTCTCATTAAATAGATAAAGAGTGCTGCTTAATGAGGAAGTTTTGAGGATTGGGATACCGACGCAGGACGCTTGTATGTTAGGTATATTTCTCTGGCATTACTTAATGATAAATAAACGGTCGTTGTAAAAAATGCATCATTCATAGGTCATTCCAAACACAGGCAGTTTCAAAAACCTGAAGCGCTGTTAAAAATCCATGCCGCCCATTTACTGGATAAACGTAAATTGTGTGACAGTACATAGGAGTTCGCCGATCGGCTTCACGGAGTCCAAAACTTAAGAGAAATCTTAATTGACTAAAACGGAAGCTTACGGTTTTTAGGATGAAAAAATGAAAATGCAAAAATGGTTGCAACTAATAATGCGAGTTTAGAAAACAAAAACACTTTTAGCCGGGAACAACATATACATTAGCCTCAACGATCGACCTACTAACCACCTAATTGTCTCTTCATTCTGCAAGAAGCGTACATAAGACTTCATTCTAGAATACCCCACTCCCCAACAAACGTTGACAGTCAGTTTTAATTCAACGGTAGTTTTAGACATGACATTACTTTTATCAAGGCTGGCAAAGGTGAAATTTAGAATATGAGTTTATTGGCTGCAACACCTTAGCGGATTTTGCATGACTATCAGGCTAAAATGTACAATAGCGTCTTCTTATCCGGATCCCTAGTAAACTGGCTTTTTTGTTGAGTCCAATGAGTTGAATTATAAAGCCTCAGACAATCGCTAAAATATATGTTAGGACTTCTGGCCATTGCCCTTTTTGGGAGTACGATCAGAAAAAAAGCGACATTTAAATTTATTGTGCATCCTTTCTGACGAGGTTGATGTCATCATTCTTAAAGAGGACAATGCTTTACTTTCTATTGTTTGGTCAGCCAAATAATTGGCTCACAAGTAATTTGTTAAGTGTCTCAACCATCCTACATCCACAGGTAACTGGTAGCAAGGTCTAGTGAACTAATATGTGGAAGTTAAGAACCGACACTGCAAAATTTGACGTACTCCAGCGCCTTTAGAAAATCTAAACTAAAAACGGCGAATCAAACCCGGCTGGAAATGCGTAAGATAATATTTTTAATATTTTCTACACCGCCAAAATATCTGACATAAAATGCTGATCAAGACATAATAATCGAAGAGGAGGCTAAGAGGATAAATGAACATGCAAACTTATAATCTTCCATTAATGCAAGTAGTTCGAACGCCTTACGATGGATATATATATAATTTTTCACAAACAAACTAAAACACTAACTATTTAATAGTGTTTGGGGGATTATGGTTTTTACCAAAAGGTTTGGTTTTGGAATTGTTACACTGAATAATTTCATTACCACACTTGATCTCCTAAGACAATTTAAAATTGTGTTTTCGTTTTGTGGTTTACGGCAAACTGCGTTGAAAAATTACAAAGCAATAATTGCCATTAGCTGAAACACGGATAAAATGATCACATTTTCACGAGACCGCACATTACCCGTAAAACCGAATGAATGACGCGATTTGTAAACTGTCTGCCAACTAGCGCAACCCTTTACAAATCATACTTTAAAACCCAAAAACATTCTCCTGATTAAAAATTTTAGGAAACCCATGCTTGGAGCTCGCCTCTAGAGAAGGGTGGACATGCTCACAAGAAAGTATTGAGCACCATTGTGCTGGTGTTATTACCGAAGATAATAAGCAAAACATTACTTCGCGCGTCATTTTAATAAAGTGACTTATTTTTGGATAAAACTAAGAAAATTAAGCAAACTATTTAAAACTTGAGATCAAACCACCTGAGTACTAAATTCGTCCATACGAAAAACTTAACAAAATTCGTCAGTGGATTTTTTGACTGCTATAATCCTAAGAAATGTTTACCGGTCCATCTTTTTGGGATGGAGATACTGAAAATCGATTAATAATATAATAGTGACCGAGAATATATTCGTAGGAGAATTTTGTTGACAGTCGTCGTGAGCAATTTTAAAATTTTTAGCCTATTTGGGTGGGAAACGAAGCAAGTTTTTATTTTATCTCTCCGGGTGACACCCTAAACTAATCAGAACTTCTTTTTGGAATACCGTGGGGTGTCAAATTTGTTTCAGCACTTGGCAATATAATTAATATATACTTCTTATACTTACTCGCATGATTTCTGACAAGGTTCTTCCAGCTTCATCACAAATCTTAAATTCAATCAACATGTTGTCTTCCGTTATTGCGAGAAGCAATCGGTAACATTCATCCACTAAAATTTTGACCACAGGAGCTCCACAATGGGCGATGGAAGAAAGTCGTTCTGTCGTTGTCTCGAAGTTTCGCGCAAGAGCATTTAGCTCAGCTGACAAACGCACTATGTGACCTTCAAAAAATATATCAAGGAAGATTTGAGCAGACCATCGCTACATCCTCCGAATATCACAGCGGTATCGATCAATTTGTTCAATTGGACAACATGCTTAGGCACCTCGCTCAACCCACCGCGACTCATCACAGGGGCATTAGAGGCCTTCATAAACTTACTAAAAGTTTAAATTAATTTTCAATTTACCAGTCCCTCTTAAAGAGTGCCGCTGATGTTATAAAGGACTCAACTGTTGTTGAAATGACTTGCTGAGGTTGAGAGGCCATGTCGGACAACACCCATAAGCTTAAGTGTCCACACGGTGAAGCACAAAAGAGAAGGAATCCTTTTTGGGACCAAATAAGGGTGTTTATGTTGTATGCCACGGTGTCGATATTCTTCATAGAATTTTTAGCAATGTCAACAATGGATATGCCGCATGATTTCCACGAGATTGCCAGGGTGGGATTAAGTGGGTGCCAAGATATCCGATTAATTGGCTTATTGCTAGGTAACCTTATTTTGAGAGGAGGCTTCTAAAAGTGGCTCTGAATAATTCGCAAACTAACATTGCTTTCAACAACATACAATTCCGATTCGGTGTTGGTTATATTGCACGACAACGCCAAGAGTGATCGGGAACTGTGCCATTCTGCCAGGTTTGGGGCAGCTGAGATTGTATGAAGCTTCGAGCTGAAGAAGGTTGTCATTTTTACAGTTTCGAAAGGCTTCCGTATCCAATGTAAATAGGCGCTCAGAAATACAAACTATGCGCTCCTTTCGTCCTTGAAGTTCGGTCCAAGGACGACGTTTGAAATTTGACAGAATTTCGCGGTCGAAAATGTGGAATATCTTCTCAGTAATTACCTAGCAGAGAAATATATCTCTCTTTTATATACACGGTGTAAGTGTAGTCAGGGTCAAGCTTTTCGTTACTGCTGTCGAAGTAGATAGATTACCTCCTAGAAACTGTGGCATGAAACAAGCAGAATCAGAATAAATACAGGACCTAAACACATAACTGAATAAACTTTGCTAGAAATGCCAACCAGTAGAAGTTATTTGTAGTAAGCCTTCTTTTGGCAATAAAAATTATCTTATAAGACAGAGAGGTCAGTGGATAACAGGAAGGCAGCAATCACTTCCTATCTTGAATCAAAACTGAGGAATGAGAAGTTGGTATGTATTTTGCCTCTATTTTTAAATTTGGGTTTAAAACTCCAATTGAAGAAGGCACACTTCTCAAAGAGGAGATACGTGCCATTAGACAGAACTATGACAGATGCAATAGCGTAGGTACGGAATAAATAAATAAATTTTATTCAAGACCAGTGGGAGTCTGGTCATAGCAAGAAAGAATAAATTTTTACCCGAGTTTCTGAACAGGTAGACAGGATTCACGCAATAATTAATGCATACTTATTGAATATGTAGTCTGTTGCAAAGAGTGATGAGCGAACAGCGAAGAAACTCGTATCGAGTAAACAAAATGAATATGACGAGATTAACATTATGGGAGAAAAGGCGGGGAGGACCGGCCTGCATGCGGTATGCAGTAAAAGTTTCGAAACGGACATCCTTAAGGCAAAATCCTTATGCCGGATGAGGGCATTCACGTCAAAATGGCGGGCTGAGAGGAACTCAGAAGCGTTCGGTCACGGTCCGCTCTGAGTCCAGCAGGAGAGTGGGCAAGGAAGATGCGACCAAGCTACTAGAAGATGGCGAATACAGAGGGTTCTGCCGAGAGCGTCGACAGACCGCTATGGGTCGAAATGAGGATATGACCTCCAAAACCGCAAAATACACCGATTTGGGGTGAGGGTTCGAAAGCGCGGGGTCAGAGTGGAACTCTGATGAGTGTCGGTGATAGACGAGACTTAGGCGGCCTAGAGTGTGTATGCCAACCTAGCCAAGCTAGTTCTTTGAGAGAACTTATCAGGATGGGTATCGCATTCTGTGAGGAGCACGATGCACGAACTGAAAAAACGAAAAAATTTCCATTTCCAATGAAGGATCCCAGAAAGCTATACAACACGAAAAAGGAGAATAAATGGGCATTTACGGTAATTTATTGGCGCCGTCGTAAATGCCCGACAACCCTTTCTCATTGTACTAAAGAAAATTGTCCGGGAAGGATGAGGAAAATGAAAGTTTAATAGAGTCGTCTTTAAGATAAAGGCACAGCCTTCCCTCAAATGTGTTTAGATTATCTGGTGATCTCATATATTTTGGGAGGTCATTCCGAAGGAGAGTATACCCGGACGCGAAAAAAGAGAGCGCTTACAGTTGAAGGAAGCGAGATGAGGTATAATCGCGGAAGAATTGCGAAGATTGTATAGGCAACTACTAGAGGAAAGTGCTGTAATCCGAGGAAGATTTGAGCTATTATAAACGGAAAACAGGAGACAGAAGCCTGCTTTTACTCTTTAAACCCATAAATGTTTTAGGTAAGTTATCTGGCATCTGTCAGCGTAAGAGATATTTGGATGTTCCGTGCGTAAAAGTTTTCTAGTAAAATATCTTTGAGCACTTTCAATTTTTGAACGAGTGGCCTCGTCAAACCAGAGAATGGGCAACAATACTCGCGAATGGGATGCATCTATTCCTTGTCAAATGAGGAGAACGAAAATAAACGGGTTCAAAATAAACCTGTGGTAGTCACAGAAAACGCGGCTTATTTTTCTCATTGTTTTGGATTGCTTGTTAATCTGCCCTCACATATCGTGTATCCCACTTAGGCGAAAAAGTAAGCGAATTTATCGTGCCCCTGGTTTTAGCGTCAACTATTGGCATGTTGTCCGAAAGTGGCAATACTCGTAAAAAATGCGAGGTTACTAAGCATTTCAATTCGGTATATTTGTGCAACCATATGTATGCGTCTAGGAACTGCGTAGCTGTCTCATAACAACCAGACACTCCATTTGTCTATAGGATATGGGAAACAAGTTTGGCTTGATCAGTCTTTCAGAATATGACAGAGCCCTATACCGTTTACCAGCTCTGACTTCAGTCATTGCACCTGCTCGATGGAGCCACTGTCCTTCTTCATGTAGGGAATTTTTGCTTGCATCACATTTTCTAAATGCGTCCTAACGGACACACCAAATAACCGCGTCAAGAGTTCTGGAAGAAAGACTACGAAAGCAGGCCTAATACTGCGCACGAAGCTACTTGCCTTTTGAACGGCCGTCTGATATGTTAAAAGAGCAACATTTTCGAAGTTGTTCAGATAGCTAACCTTTGTCGAGCATCAAATTTTAGAGGCTTTCCATTTACCGCGTACTGGTGTTTTAGGTCCACCACCTAAATGGCATCCCATAGTCAGTTTAAGTCAGTTTATTTAGGGATTGAGGCTTTCGTCCTTGACCTCCCTATTCATATACATAAACAGAAAAAGAATCACCAGTTAGATCAGCAAATGCGGAAATTCAAAAGTTAGCGATATGTGTGAGCCATGCGCAAACTGCCGCCGCTAAAACAATCGTGACTTTATGTACGGTAGTTTCTCAGCAAATGAGCATCTAGTCTACACCTTAAGGATTCAACATTTTCGGAAAGGACCACCGGATCAGGGAGTTCACTCCATTCCCTAATGACCCTGTGAGAGAACGCGTTCGAATGAGCCAGCTTCGTCTGCAGTTTAAAGGTATGACAACGCAGACGGTCAGTCCCGGCCAATTAGAAGGATTCATCAAAGGCTAGGGCGCACTCACGGCCTTTGACAATCCCGTAGGTTTGAATGAGATCTCCAACCAGTTGTCTGTAACTGAGAGGAAGCAGATTTAATTCGGTCAGCCTGAGTTCGTAAGGCAGGTGATTATGATTCTTGACCATCTTCGTAGCCATTGCCTGTACTTTTTCCAGTCCTTGAGTATTTCTTCAACCACGGTCGCCAGGCCTGGACTGCATACTCTAAGTGAGGCCGGACGAATGCCCCATAGGTTTTTCCGAACAGCTCTGTATCGATATGCACATATCCTCGCCCCAGCGCAAATAACACCCTTATCGCACTTTTGGCTGCCCTTTGACAATGCGATGGTGCTTTCAGCGAAGACGTAAACACTCATATGGATGTGTAGATTACAACTTCAGCTAAACCGCCGCTGCACTGCTCAAAGTTGGCGAAGTCCGTGATATCTGTCCTGTACCTCACAATTCAGGCTTTTTAAACCTTCGATGAAAACTGCTTCACTTAGGTCTTCTTTAAGTTTGCCTTGTCAGAGTTGGAGTCCGCTATTCAATCCTGGAAATTCTGGACCACTTAAATCCTCAGCATCCTTGGGAAAGTTCAAAAGCGAGTAACCAAACTCGTAAATGGATTGGGTTCTCTACCTACGGAGCACGGTTATCCAATATCGGCCTCCTTATTCTGAGTTACAGACAGTTAAGGGGCGGCCAGATACAAACATTCCGTATCATACACTGTCAGAGCTGTTGCTTTTTACATGGAGATTTCATTAAATTATCAGCCACTAAGAACCTTGGAGGTCGTCCGCTTAAACCATGCGTGACTAGCAATAGGGTTGGCAGACGAAAGTTCTTCTCCAACTGAGTGGCTGAAGGTCGGAATGCCATGCCTACATATACCGTAATAACCACATCTGCCGAGGCGTTTATGCGCAAGCCAGGTCGATATCGTCCTGACGCACACTGCTAAAAGAATATTACTGTCGTAATATTATTGTCCATATTGCAGGATAGTTTGCTTTATTCAACTTTATTATAACCCCAAAGTCATAGTGCGCCGATACCGAAATTCGGTTTTGCGCCTGCCGTTAATTGAATTCAAAGTACTTTTTTCATAACGCAGTTAAGCACAGGCTGGCTACTGTACTGTATTTGGTGGTGCCAATGTTTTTAATACTTAGAATAATTCACTTATCTGTACAGTATCGGCCAGTCTTCTGTAGGTGTTTGAAGGTTCAGTTTACAACTTTGCTATGCTTCCCTTCTCAGTAATAGGGAGAGCGAGTTCAAACGTAGAACACTCACATATTCCTTAAATAACTTGAACGTCTTCGACCAGTTTCCTAGCGTAAGAATATAAATTTGGATACCTTGAGCAGGTTGGCGAACTACATAGCCATTTACTCAGCGTTTTCATGCAGATTATGCCTGTTATTAACACGGCTTTTTATTTTCCAGCCTTATATACTATCTGCAAACATGACGTCGCAGTCATGATCCTCAGTTATTTGATTCGTGACCTTGCAGAAAATGTAGATGAAACTAATGGGATGGTAGTTTTCTGACTTCAGTCAAGATCCTCCTTTGTAGACCGGGGAAATAAAGACGGTTTTCCATTCCTCCGGTAATCCGGTTTCTTCACCGAGCTATTGGAATATCATCAACATCGGTTCGCATAATACGCTAGTCAGTTCTCGAAGGGCTAGTTGATGAATTATATCAGCACCAGGTGATAGAGTAAAATTTGGCTGGAATATCTCCGTACTTATCGATAAATGCCAGAAGTAAAAATTATCTCTAAATGCAGACGATGCAAAATTTTGCAACCGATCTGGGTTGGGGAGAAAGGGAGGATTATTTTCATGGGTGAGTACCAACTGATAGGGGCGTCAAACTCCACGACGAAAGATCTCGTTTCGAATCTGAAGTGATCCACACTTGGGGCTGGGTATGACTGGCTGATGACGGCTAATAAGCCAGAAAAAAAAGAGCGCGCCTTTCGAATTCGGTTTGAAATTTCGACCTCCGCGGGAGTTGCTTTTTCCGGGATTTCTGCCTACTGGACGCTCTGCGGGCCCATTTGGATTAAGAAATTGAAGCGTAATCAGCAATTCCTCGAACGATCCACTCAGAACTCCGACAGAACTTTCTTTGGGACGACCATACTCCTTCGTATCAATTCTCTGCCAACAGCACCGCGGGGTTCTCCAGATCCAGAAGCGGCTGAGTCGTTTGATATTTACTTCATATTTTTGGCTTGGTTAAAAAGCTTCTCCTACACCTTTAAATACTTCGCCCATACCTAGAATTCCTTGCATATCGTTTGAATTAATAATGGGAGTCGACAAAACACCATCAGGACAGAGTGCGAAAAACTCGCCGCAAGTGGGACTCGAACCCAGGTCCAGTCGTAGTGTGACCAGCGACATGACCGCTAGACTATCGGCGCACGCCCAGCCGACTGAAATAAATAAGAGAGTAAACATTATTCGTAGTACAAACGACACTATGTATGAAGGAAAGTCATTTGAGAAGGCCTTGCCACCTAGGATTAGCGCTCGCTCTCTTTATAGTTGCAACCAGGGGCCCGCAGAGCGCGCTAAAAGCGTTATCACAGCAAAACCTGTTAGTTACGAGGACGAGCCATGCACTGGATGCACATTTATTCTGCTGAAAGTCCAAAAAGTCGAAAAAGAGTTGACTGCTTTAAGGGAACTCGTGCAAGCGAACGATAGTGTGCAAAACGCGGTGAATAGCGCTAAAGTTAGCAAGAAAAAGGGAAAGAGCAAAACTCTAAAACAACAAAAGAACAAAGTATGTGGAAAACCTCTGTGCAAGAGCGCCGATACCCAGGACGATTGGAAAATAGCAACGGAGTCTCTTGTTTCTATGGGAGACAACCCAAGCGAGCCATCAACTTCTCTCATCCATTCCGCGTGTTCAACAGGACCCTCAGTTGGAAATGAGGAAACGAGCTCATGGCAAGATGGAAAGGGTAAGCGCCACAACGGGAGTATAGAACCCCAGACGACTCCGGTGGATCTTCTGAGACCTTCAGCTGACAAGGCCACCGGAAACAGAAAAAATGAACCCCTTGATCGTCAGCACTGCGTAGTCGTCCAGGGTCTATCGGAGTCGGATGCTCCTACCCCGAAGGAGAGGATCTCCGCTGACCTTAATATGCTTCAACACCTACTGAACGAAATGCTTAATTCGAATGAAAAGATAACCATTCGCGCAGCCTTCAGGATCGGAAAGAAGGTGAGCGAACAATCAGAAACTGTGCGGCCACGACTTCTGAAAATTGTTTTGAACAGTAAAGAGGAAGCTAGCTTACTTCTGTCCAGGAAAAGCAGCCTCCGAAACTTTCACAAGGAAGTTTTTTTTCAGCCGGACTATTCTCCAGCGGAACGTCTGGAACGCCGCGAATTGGTAACGGAGTTGAAGAGGAGACTTGCAGCGGGAGAGAGCAACTTGGCCATTTCCAGGGGACGAATAATACAGAGGAACGCGATGTTGTTTAGGAACCAGCCAGTCATCATGATGGCGGCAGCAACATAATATTGGCAAACCCGAGACAAACCGAACGAAGCACTGTCGAATGTTGCAAACTAAAATTCTTTTACACCAATGCTCAGAGTCTGTTTTCCAAGCTTGACGAACTGAGAATACAGGTAGACGATACTCTTCCCGATGTTATAGCAATAACAGAAACGTGGCTGTCAGAGGACGTTGGCGATTGCGAGGTAGTATTAACAGGATACCATTTGTTTAGGAGAGACAGGAGAGGCCGCCGGGGTGGAGGAGTTGCCATGTATGTCAAGAGCAACTTAGCAGTGTGTGAGAGGACCGACAAGATTTCTAACGACACAGAGGCAATTTGGCTGACTATAAAGGCGCGGGGATCTCAGTCCCTCGAAGTCTTAACTATCTACCGCCCCCCGCAGGCGGATCCTGACCCAGATACTTGTCTACTGAAAAGCATAATAGAGATCGCCAGCCGACCAGACGTTGTTATCATGGGGGATTTTAATGCACCATGCATTCAATGGAGCGATATGCATGCGAAATGCTCGATGAATACCTTCGATTACCATCTACTAAAGACAACTCTAGAAGCTCTACTCACGCAACATGTCCTGTTTCCAACTAGAGCTCGTGGAGGGCAACAGGCCAGTTGTCTGGACCTCGTTTTTACCAAAGATCCTGACAGTATAGACGAGGTGTACTACCTACCCCCGCTCGGTCAAAGTGATCATGCAGTGCTTTTATGCGAGTACTTGCTGTATTCTGAACCGTGTACAAAAGACAATACGAGGCCAAATATATGGAAAGGGGACTTTCGCCAAATGAGAGCTGAGGCATCACAAATAAACTGGGATGTTCTCTTCTCCGGAAACGTTAACGAGGACTGGAATTTATTCAAGGATCGTTTACTGCATCTAATGAAGAACCACTGTCTCTTATTAAAGCCTAGGACATCCAACCGCCCTCAGTGGCTTACACGAGAACTCAAAAGGGAGATCAACAAGAAAGGTAGGTTATGGAAAAAATTTCGCGAGAACAACAATAATGCAGCGTTTACAGAATACAAAATTCAAAGAAATAAGGTGAAAAGCCTGATTTTCAGGAGGCGACGGGATTTTGAGAGTAATTTGCTCCACCGAGCCGTTAACAATCCGAAATTGCTCTACAGCTATTTGCGGAAAAGCACACGTAACAGGAATCCAATTCCTGTTATGAGGGGTGATGACGGCTTGGAGATATCGGACAGTACAAATAAGGCTGAGCAATTTTCTCAATTTTTCCGATCCGTTTTCACAAGAGAAGCGGACTTTACCCCATCTAATTCTGAGAACATGAGAGATCCCACTATCGAAAATATTGTGTTTCGAGAAGAAGCGATTTTGGAAGAACTGAAAAGCTTGAAGGAATGTAAATCTCCCGGTCCGGACGAGATTCCAGCAAAGCTGCTCTTTGAGCTTGCCCAACAGCTGGCCAAGCCACTATCCTTTCTGTGCCAAAAATCGTTTGATGCTGGAATTCTTCCCACAGACTGGAAGACGGCCCACATTACACCCCTTTACAAAAGCGGTAGTCGTGCTCAGGCGACAAACTACAGACCCGTCAGACTGACATCAATCTGCTGCAAAGTGATGGAGAAAACCATCAAAAAGGAGTTAATGGCTTACTTGGAAACCCACAACCTCTTGTCTAATGCACAATATGGTTTCCGTAGGAGAAGATCATGTGTTACGAACTTGCTATACACAATGCAAAGTTGGACACGAGCACTGGACGCAAAACACACCGTGCATGTTGCCTATATTGATTTTCGGAAGGCGTTTGACAGTGTTCCGCACCAGCGTCGCCTACACAAGTTGAGAATTATGGGCATCGGTGGCAAACTTCTCAAATGGATCGAAAATTTCCTTGTCGGCCGCTCCCAAATTGTCTGCGTAGAACAACAGCAATCAAGGTGCACATTCATAGAGAGTGGGGTCCCACAAGGCTCGGTGCTCGGACCAACTCTCTTTCTCTTGTTCATCAATGATTGCGTAGATGGGTAGGACTGTGATTGTGCCATGTTTGCGGATGACATAAAAATCTGGAAAGTCATCCAGAATGCTGCCGATGAGACCAACTTCCAAGAAAATCTTTGTCGGTTGGACGAGTGGTCCCGCAGATGGCTCTTGTCCTTCAATTTGAACAAATGCACCATTCTGCGCCTCGGAAATCAGAGCCCTAGTACGCGGCAATACCATCTGAACGGAATGCCACTCCGAGAAGCAGAAACTCAGAAAGATCTCGGAGTTTGGGTTGCAGACAGCCTAAAGCCTTCCACACAATGCTGTAAGGCGGCCAAGGCCGCAACTTCAATGCTATATGCCATCAAGCGGGCATTCGTAGTTTTCGATGAAGACTGCTTCACCAAAGTCTTCGGCACGTTTATAAGGCCCCATCTCGAATATGCAATTCAGGCCTGGAGACCGTGGACGCACCAGGATTACGACCTGCTCGAAAGGGTGCAGAGGCGAGCCACAAAATTAGTAAGAGGTCAAAGTGCACTGCCATACGAGATCCGCTTAACTAATCTTAATCTCTATCCTCTGAGTTATAGGCAGCTGCGCGGAGACATGATACAAACTTTCCGTATCGTGCGCGGCTTGGATTGTGCCCTTCGACGCGATGACTTTTTCCAACTCGCCACAACAACTAACCTCCGGGGACATCCCTTCAAGCTACGTGTGCCACAGGGTAGACTGAATGTGAGAAAATATTTCTTCTCCAACCGTGTCGTGGAACCGTGGAATAACCTGCCCGAGACGGTTGTTATGTCTCAATCTGTGGAGACATTTAAATGTCGCCTTGACAGATATTTGCTGCAGCAACAAGCGGACTATGTGACTTTTTAACCATGTGACTAGTGACATATGTGAATCAATGTATGCATTCACTTAATGCTGTAATTTCTTCACATTTTTGCTTGTTTATCGATTTTTTATGTACAAATAGGGAGTCCAAAGGCGCAAGCCTATTTCCCTCAAATACACTGACTGACTGACTGAAATGGCCATTCTGATCTCCCTTGCCTTTCTCGGCACAATGTCATTTGCGTGTACTACTAGTCGCTGTGCCACTGCCTGCGAGGGTTCTAGTATGGGCCCCAAGGCCCTACGGAACAGGCACGTTCCGTCACCTGATCGCTGATCATTATTACAACTCCATCTAAATAGTTCTTTCTAACTGAAAACCCATTTCAGAATTACGGCGGAGATTCCATGAGATCGACCGGCTACTGTATGCAATCGTGAATTCTGATTTTCCTTGGACTCTTTAATAAGGAAAAGGATTATTTTGTTTGCTTACGCTCATTGAAACATCACAATTATAATGCTCTTTTCATTGTGGAATATTTGAACGGCAGCAAATTTCTCGATGTTTCCTTAACCTTTTCTCTTGTACGTTTATCAGACATCCGCGGTGATTTTCTGTGACTACAGTCAGCGTCAGGGATAAAAGCCTTAGAATGCCAAGCTTATACAAATGTGCTTAATAGTACTAGAGAAAACTTGTCCGTTTTTAGTACTTAGGTTACATTTCAAAACTTTCTAATTTTGAATCCACCATTCTTTACTTCCACGGTTCTACTATTCATTGTCTCAAACCTCCTAAATGTTCTCGCCCTCACAGAGGCAGTGGTCTTCTCGATTGCTGATCAGCCCGCCGGCATATTCATTCGTCAGCAACTAACAGCAATTCCCCTTTGTCTTTCTCACACCAGTCTTTATCCTGCGAAGAAGATGGAAACAGGACGGTTCAAACAGATAACGTAGGTATGGCTGTGATATTAAGAACAGTGAAATAAAACGCCCAGATATCACAGTCAGACCAGGATGCCGGCTTTTGAACGAGCCTCTTTTCGGCCGTCTGCAAAAGGTTCACTCTGCCAAAATCGACTACTTTGGTAGTATGCATTGTTCCATTGATCTTCTCTGCCCATATAAATTTAAATAAAGTAGATAGAAAACACGCACAAGTCAAGCCCTCTTCAAATTTTCTACTTGAAAAAAGAGTATCTTTCGGTTTTTAAAACTGTCGGATGCTGAGAACGCGGCCGCACTTGGCCGATTGTTTTTCGCATTACTACTTGCATTGTTCTCGGTAGGTGTGTTTGCGTTCTTGAAAAACTATCCAGCAGTGAAAAAGGCATGGCAATGTGGTTTCCTTCTGGGGCCAGTCCTCAGATTGGTCTGCAGACTTGGGTTTGGTTTTAGAGGTCAGCGAGGGAGGGGTTAGCCATTACGATTGACGCAATAGCCGCGTAATTAAACAGTTCCTTTCATATTTATGACTCACCTTAAATTCGCCTCTACATTTTCCTACTAATATCATTGTTTCCCCACCCATAAGACTCCTATTTACCACCCTTACCCTTTTATACGTATGGGGTTTTCCCCTACGGCCGCATTTCCAGTTCCTGCCTTTTTGAGATTCCCGAATAGTTTTGCGTCCCACCCGCCGTTACATTGGAATTCATGACTTTCACACTATATGCCGATTGTATTCCGTTAGAAGAATATCATACGCGTCTCCACGCTCTTAAGAGGACGCCATATAGGACTCATAAAATTGTGTAATGCATTCGGACCAGGTTGTATATTTCCTAAGTGGCATTACTAAGCGTGCTGATGCGATGCAGTATGAGTGAACATCTCACGGTTTTGAAGAATCTCATAATTAAAGACTCTTCCTAAAACCAAAAGATACTCTCTCTTCAAGCAGACATTTTGGAGAGGACGAAATTTGCTACCAAATCAGTACAACAGCGGATATTTTTGGGCACGTTTTCTATATAATATATTTAAATTCCTAAGGGAATCGGAAATTAACAGGAAAAAACGCATGATACTCAAGTAGTCATTTTTGCGATGTATTTCTTTGCGGATAACCAAGAAGAAGCTCATCCAGAAGCCGAAATCCTGGCATAACTGAAATATCCTAGGAACATGCTGAACGATAGTTAGTATTACAACCTTACTTAAGTAGTTTTTTCGACTCCAAAACATATTTTTACAATTTCGGAAAGCATTTCATGAAATAACACATCTACTGTACATGCGCATCATAACTAATGAGTGTTGGTCGAAAATACTCCCTCCCCATTCGAATGGCAGATTCTTCTGCTGATCCTTCTCAGTACCCAAGCTCATTTTTATTACCCATGATCACTGAAAGTTCAGTTAACCTAAACTACACCTAGCAATCTACGTGTAGATATTGCTGTCCACTCGTTATTCAGTTCGCTCTGTATACTTCTCGACAATTCCTGCAAATTAGTATTCAGAATATTGCTAAGTACGTGAATAGCCAATCCCTGTTCCACCAATCCCTGATAGGTGCGTGGCGTTGTTCTAAAAAATTACATAATTCGACGAGTTTCTTACTTTTCATTGCGTTTACGGTACACAAGTCAGACGTCCACCTCCAGCAGTTCGCCTCACTACGAGGCGCGCCCAAGTACGGGCTTGCAGATTAGTTATTCCAGAAACTGGAGTTCCTAGACGCGGGCTCACAAATAACAGCAGCAAAGGTCCCCGACGAAAAAAAGTCGGTCACAATCGAACTGGAGGAGAGGACGGTTTCATTTGATGTAACCTCTTTCTTCACGTCCACATCGCAGGCCCTTGCGACCGAAACACTCAAATACAATGAGATTGATGGCCACTCCAGAGATCAGGACTTCCCGCAGCTCATGGAACACTGTCTCAAGCATTCTTTACCTTCGATCGGATCATATGTGATACAAACTGTGGGCATCCCAATGGGTTTGCAAATCTCCGGACGTATTGTTGAGGCGGTTCTGCAAAAACTCGAGGGGCGACTGTTCGAGTTTCGGACGCGCTACATAGCTGATACCTTCGTCATCACCCATCAGGAAGGGGTTGACCACCATAAAGAGCAGTTAAACTGGATCATTCCCGATTTGCAGTTCATTATAGAGGAGGAAGTGGGGAGGAGACTCCGTTGCTGAATCTTATCGTTTGTCGTCCATTTAACGGTAAGCTGGAAAAGACAGTCTACAGAAAACAGTCGAACGCTCTACGAATGCTCGGATAAAACAACAACCACCAGCTGCAACACAAACAAAGCTGTGTACGTCGGCTATACTGGCGGGTGGAGACAAATTGCAGCATGCTAGTCACCAAACGGGACAAGGTTGTCGAGAAGACAACGGCAGTCCGCGAGCACTCGTTGAAAGGAGTCAATTGCCACAAAAAAGGGGAAATAAAGGATCGACTGTCGAGAAAGGCGGAGAAAAGAGTGAACAGAGTGAGCAAAAACTAAAACTTAAAGGCGGGCAGAATACTGGGGACTAAAAACGACTAAGATGAGGGATAAAGAGGCTTCGAGGGGGATAATAGTCGGCCTTCCGGCCCAGAAGGAAATTTGGCCACCTGGTCATTTTCAAATCAGTATTTATTCGCGCCTTCCTCCTGCACTGCGTGGTTGCAGGCATTGTTGCCAAACCAGCTGCCAATCACTATCGCTTAACAGTGCAAGCAGCTTACACTTACGACGTGGACTAAGGGTTTCTTGGGAAAAAATCACTAACAACACGACAGAACGCACCAGTAAGTGTCATCACAACAGGGTATTGGAAAACCTTGGACGCAAATTATGGTGCATACACGTACCCACTTAAGGATGGGCAACAGAAGTCAGAAAACTGGTACTGAAACGTCAAAATAGGTTTTGAAATACAAAACAGCGAGCGGAAAGGCCGATATGCATGAAACCAAGTCCCGACCCGCACAGCATCCCCTACATGCTAGCATGCCTACCGTTGGTGGGGAATCCTTCCAAGCCATACTTGATAGAGGCGCAGTCCCTACGTCGTGCACATTTTTGCTATCGATTTTTTATGCTCGTAGGTAACCAATCCCAATTTAACCAATCACAGAGAAGCACTAACGTCTGTCCCGAGACGGTCGTGTGTGTCCTCGCGCGGACCAGTTTAGCTTATTTAGGACTGCAGACAACTATTATTAATTAAGTCAGCGCAGTCTGGAATGGTCATTTCTGAGTTTTTTTGCTGTCATCGGCCAGCAAATAATTGAGGCTTGAGCACTTTGGTCACGCCCAATCCGAGGGATGTAAGTAAAGGCAGATACAAATTTCCTATTACGAACCTTCAAGGACGAAAATAGGAGAGGATGAAAGGAAGAGTTAGTGAAGGCTAAATCCGGAGGCACTTTAGAAGAAGACAGGGGACTATAGTTGCCAGTATTTGCCATTCATCCCCCAGCCTTGGTCAGGAAGACCTGACTCCACCCACAAACCCACGCTTCGTTAACTGCGTTCAGGAACACTCAGTCCCAATTCCCGTCCAACAGTCGAGGGGGGGGGGCGTTTAATGCCACCAGCACGAGACTTATCACTGCTGCGCACGAAATCTACAGTATCACATACACAAATCTCACCACTTTATGAGCTACACTAAGTTCTTCCTCATAAACGAATGTTTTCGGAAAATATTTACGTCAAATAATAGGTAAACATCATGAACAAGGACCGAGGAAAAGAGAGATGACCGTGGTCAGCCAGCCTTACCACAACTGGAGGTTCAGTTTTTTCATCGAGTTGGACAATCTACTAGCTGAACAAAGGTCTAGTTTTTGTTGACTGAAATTGATTAAATTTCGGCGTCACGTGAGAGCGACGTTTAAGGAGCCCTCAGCAAGAAATGAAGATAATTTATTCTGCGCGTTGCAACGAAGAGAGAATTCACAAGTCCCTATTCTAGAACAAAACTCCACGGTACCAGGATAATCAGAGAACCTTGAAAAATTTACAAAAAGTACAAACTACTTCAAACTAAGCAGGAAATGAAATATCCCACAACAAATATGAAGAATACGCCCTTCCCCACAACAGGGAGAGAGGAGGACAAATTTCCGTAAACACTTTTTATATAAAATAAGACCGAATGTTCGGTAGGTGGTAACAAGCACAGAGAGTAATAAAATGGACAGTTTTGGCCCATTAGCGCTCATCAACCGGTCACACAACCCACACGCCAGGGAAAAAATAAAGTTGAAGCTATATCCGAGTTGAACGTTTAGAGAGTTAAGTCACCGTCTGACACCCTGTCACTCAATGAGTCTTTTTCGAACACAAATTCAAAAGGTTCATTAGGTAACAATTGGGAGATGGCACCCCAAAAAATCCGCTCAACCAAAGCAGCCTGTCTTATGGGACAGGTGGAAATAGGGGTTTTACGGGTGGGGCCTTCGATTGCGTGGATTAATATAGAGAAGTTTTTTCAGAAATGGCTTTTCGAACGATAACGTTTAACCTCATCACTTTATGGCAAGAAAAATGTGCGCGGTGCCGGATTTACTTGAAGAGGCAGATAATATGAAGTCGATCCAGTTCGTATTCCCTGCTTTATTGCTTTTTTTAAATAGGGGATAAAAGCGGAATGCAGTTGGCTAAAGGAAACGTTCTATGTTGTGCTGTTCATGACCCAATGCCTTTATATACTTGCTTTCAAAACTGCACGTTTAATAAACGCAGAGGACGTAATTGAAAACATCGCCGCACTTGACCCCGACGAGAGCTGCCATTTTGCGAAATAGCTTAGCTGATGACACCCTCTGTCGAGGATTGTATGCTTTAAAAGTTTTCCGGCCCTCAGTAAAATACCCTTATTTTATTCCTTTCATTAGCCTGTGAAAGAACACTCATGCAGTCCTCCGGCATATTCTCATCGGTAACGGAATTTTTTGGGTGCCATCTCCCAATTGTTACCTTTCATTAATTTCAGAGCCTATTGTGCGTGCAAGCGACATCCAAAAACTGGCAAATTGCTCCACCGGTGCCACACACCACCTCCCCTCCAGCCAGGCTTGACTATTGTGCGCCTGTCTAACTGTAATCCCTGGTTGTAGAGACCCTATCAATGAACAAGCATGCAACACGCGACTTGAACAAACTGACACATAATGGCACTGCAAAGAGTCTGTGAACGTGCCAAAGTCATGTGGGACAGATGAGAGGTCGAGGAGCGAAAAACAGCTCTGGGTGGACAGGGACTAGCACACCATCAGCGATGCAATATAACATTATAACTGACTGCTGACCCAGACTCCATGACGAAGAGCACAAAGCCCCCCCCCCTCCCAGCGAACCATTAATGATACTATTCCTGTTCAGTAAACGAAAACAGGGCACAAGCCAAGATGCACGCCAAGCCTGCTAAAAAGCGCGTCTGAGACCACCAAAACGAATGACTGCACACTGGTGCTTCGATCTCGAATTCTGGCGTTAGGCCATTGGCTGGCTCCGTAATCTTGCTGCCGTAGGCAAATTCAGGGCTTAAGAAGCAGGCAGAACCTCCTGGTGAAATGAACTGCTCAACTGGAACCAAGAACGACTTCGTAGAAACGTCCCAACGACGCGAGTCTTGGCGCACAGGAAATTAGGAGTAGGAGAAAGCACCAAAAGGGAGAAAGAGACTATAATTTTGGCGCGGGAGCTGCAAAAAGGCAGAACGACAAAAATGCTAAGAAGGATAAAATCACACAATTGAAAAACGGAGAAGGTAGCGTCTTGGCTAGGTACAAGGTGTCTTAGAGATAAGGAGGTTGAACTGAGCGGTCAGGAGGAAGCTGATGATGGCACCAATCACTGAGCCAGTCTGCGTTGCGATGCCCAGGGTGCGGAGATTTCGCTGAGTTCCAAACTTCACTAGAAACAGGGTTATCCAGGTCTTCTGAACTGTGAACCCGGCAGTTGTGAGGATCCACGCGAGCACCTGTAGGGTGGAGAATGGAAATTTTGGGAGGAAGGACAGGGGATACCAATGTCATCACCTCTAAAGCCGATGCTGCATGTCAAGGAACCACGGCTAGGCGCGTCGACACGCCTCAACTATTCAAAACCCAGCACAGACTCCTGGCGGTTGAAGCTTGCAATCCGGGATGACCGAATTCGAGATAAACAGGCAAAAATAAATGGCCTACGCGGGGCGGAGGTGCGCGGTGGACAAAAAAAACTTTAAATCGATTCACGTATAACATCTTTTCGGACTGATGATGAAGAAGGTCACAACTTCTGCCTGGAACAGTTGTACTCGCTCGACCCAAATTAGCAGCATGAAGGGAGTTTTCTTCGGTTTTTCTCAGATCGTTCTCTGATTTGTTCATTTACATCGTGGCAGACATCCCTCCAATGTCGCTTCACTAGTCCCGCGTCGGTACATATCACGCTACCTGGGCGGGAGGGTCAAGTCGCTACAACATCGGCAACTGTAAAAGCAATGGCCTCCTGTAGGTCTGAACAAAAAAACAATCTTCTCTTGACTGACACCTTTTTCTGCGTATCGATCTGGAAGCAAACAGTGGGGATGTATCTTGCTCACGTTACCACCAATTGCTAGTCTACATCTTCGTCCGGAAGCTCTACCAGCATGACGCCCTGCCGACTGCCGGACGGACCATCACCTTATCATCACGGAGGTGAGGCCTCATCTACAACTACGTAGGTCGCCGCAAGGTAAGCCGACACCGGATACGACAAATACGGGATACAGTTGAAAGGCGGTTGAATTCTAACAATTGCATAAAGTACAACCTGGGACAAATGTAAGCTTTGGAGGCGGATGTCACTGCGGAGATCCAGTGGAGGACGCTGGGGATACCATCCGGACCTTCGTGATAGAAACACATGGTTGTGCTCGTTGACAGCACCAGGACTGGTTTGATGAAGAAGACGAAGAAATTGACAGCCTGCTCTCCGTGAAATACACTATACACACCACCTATGCCAACGATAGGACCGTCCACAATAGAATGACGAAGTCATCAACCAGGTTTCTCAGGTGAACACAAACGACGACCGGCGTCCGCCTTCCCTCCCTAAGAAAACCAATAGCTGTCCGGAAGCTGACGCAGCACCATTCGAAATTTACAAATGTGATGACCCATAACTCATAGACGAGCGTACTTCCAGGAGATGCGGAGGCAAGAACACCTCCTTCAGAACCTCAAGGATGTCAACATTATATGTATACGGACGGAAGGGAGCCGACGACCTTGTGATGACCACAGACGCATCACCCTTCTCAGCAATGCTGGCAAAATCACCGTCCGAGACCTACTTTGGCATCTCAGCACACAGCAGGGACTGGTTGCAGAAACACAGTGTGAATTCCGAAAATACCGCGGAACCACGACTCCGATCATCGCGGCCAACAGATTTTAAAGTAAGTGCCAGAAAATGTGAATCAATCTGTACGCCACTTTGGATGTCTGACGTAGGCGGCACTCGACGCGGTGAAGCGCAATGGCCTAAACAATCATGCTAAAATCTGAATGCCCGGAGAGATCCAAATGGCTGATGGTTCGCGTCACGGACAAAAGGTCAGACTCGGAAGCATTCGCGGTGGCAAAAGGGAGGAAACAGGCTTGTGTAATTACTTCCACCCTATTCAGTCTCATGCCTTCCGCCCTGCCATTGGACATCTACCATGAGGAGACGTCAAGAACCAACATCACCTACAGAACCGTTGGACAGCGGCTCAACGACTGTCGCCTACAGGCATCTTGGGCAGTTTTCCAGAACAGTGTCAACGACCTCTTCTTAGCGGATGAATGCGCGCTAAACACTACGACTAAAGAGTAAAGGCAGCAGGAGGTGGACCTCTATAACTCCGGCTGCTCGAATCTCGGACTGGCCATCAGCACGCGGAAGACACCAGGCATGCATAAACCGACTCCGATTGGTGGCTACGCTTTCAGCAGAATTCGCTTCGCAGCAGACGGAGAAATTTGTGTGCTTGGAGAGAATAATATTAAGAAACTTCAGTGTCCACTACGAAACTGCAGATCGGACGCCAAAAGCCCGTGGTGCCTTCGGTCAGTTCTAAAACCTCTGCGACATCCAGCTCAACAAAAAACGCAGGGCAGTTGACTGGACAACACTTGCACGGGCGATGAGATTGGCTGTGAATAAAAGCCCAAGCTAGCATAGTAAATAATTTCAACCTCACCCGTCATCAAACAATGCTAAAGGTGGAGTGACGGTAAGGGATGCAGACACCGAGAACTTGGAAGTACCGGCATCCATTCCATGCTGAGACAGAAAAAACTGCGGTGGAACACTCATGTCGTGAGCAGTGATTACCACCTGCCTAAGGGGCTATTCTATGGTGATGTTGTTACAGGTACCTGCAAAACAGGCAGACAAAGGCGTCACTAGAAGGGCTACCATAAAATCAACCCTGAGACCTGGAAGGACGTTTCTCAAGAGCAGCAGGCTTGACGCACAGTCGAAAAGCCTGAAACAATCAATTTCGAAGTCAACAGAGGAGTTAAGCCAAGGAAAGATGGAGGGCTTGCAGGACTTTGGTATGGTGGACCGAAGATGCAGATGCCCAAGGCCGGCGTCGCGTCCACATTGTTAAGGAACATCTGGAACATGCATGGCACTCATTGGAGATTTCCGAACCCAATGCAAGGTCAAAATGACTAACTCGCCTCCCATATCCCCACCATCACCGCCGAGACCACATGAGGCACCAGCGAGGACACTCCTACCGTCCTGCCCACCGTTACGATCATCCCTCTCCCCTTCCATTCTAACTTGTACTCACAGCGACACCTTCGCATTAGGCACCGGCCTAGTCGACCACCTGAAACTCCATCGCAGTGGGCATGGCAGAGCAGTGCCTTTAGCCTCGATACCTGCCACACTCCTCAACTCCCCACACTGGGCGTAATCGGCCATATGAGCCTCCACCAAAAGCACCAGTAAAACACTACAATCCGGACACCACCATCCAAACACCTCGTCCTACCTTCACGCCTACATCCCTTCCGTAACACATCATGTATCGCTCCTGCAGAAATCACGTTTGCGTGGCAACCGAAATCACGCATATCAGGATATGCAACTTTCAATTAAGTGCGACACATGCCATTGGGTGTATGCCGGTACATGAATTTGGGACTAGGTCATGAGTGGCACGCGCAGACGGGCTGTTTAACTTTGACGGCCACTGAGTCCACGCTCATCCCAGGCCGTTTTGACCTCGTCTCGTAATCGGAGAAAGGTGGGGGTGGGGGGTGGAGGCGAGAGTACAGAAGATGCTGTGCAAATCTGCTGGAAAACCTTACGAAGGAATCATATTGCCACTACCCCAGCCGCACTACGACGATATGCAGAAAGTCACCTGGAGACTATTAGCGCCGGAATTGAGGAACTCCAACGGAATCTGTGCCAGAGAACAGCGGCCCTTGACCGTCTTGAAAATTGCGAGAGACTGGCGTTCGAAAACTACGTGCAAACTGTCAGAAGTAAAAGAACCGAGGCGAGGTGGACTAAGCTCCTTCGAAGCGTCCAACCAGTGAAGGCTCAGACGGCCCTTCCGAATAATCAGGAACGGTACGTTCATAACCATTCCTCAGTACAGCTTGACAAAACTCTCATAGAGGTACTGTCTCTTGGTCCTAGGTTTTGCAATGCACGGCGGATGCCGAAGCAGCTAGAGTTAGAAGTCCAATTCGAAAGTCTATTCAGTCGGACTGCCGATCTAAAACCTAGCGGGCCTAGAGAAGTAGACTATCTGAAGTCGACTATGGTTAATTGCTATCAACAGTACTTAAGAAAGGCTCCAAAAAACAAAGGTCCATTAACAAGGGCCCATCTCGATAGCCTCAGCGAACTTCGTAAAAACGAAAACATTGTGCTAACCAGGCCGGATAAGGGTTCAGGAGTTGTACTGATGGATAGAAAAGAGTACGTAGAAAAACTAGAAGCAATCTTGTCGGATCGTACCAAATTCTCGAAATCCGAGAAAGACAGGGACCGCACCGAGGCCGTTGAAGGTCAACTGACGGCGGTCCTCAAAGTTCTCCACAAAGAAGGTCATTTATCTGACAAAGAATATGAGCGACTAAGACCAGTGGGCACGGCCATACCCAGAATGTACGGCCTTCCAAAAATTCACAAACACGGACTACCCCTACGTCCGATCCTGGATATGCGGAATTCGCCCTATCACACCATAGCAAAGTGGCTAGTCGAAAAGCTTAAACCGCTGCAAAGTCATTTGTATCCCCTAAGTCTGAAGGACACCTTCGAGTTTGTCGAGGCAATCAAGGATATTAACGTTGACGGACGGAGGATGCTATCTTTAGACGTAGCATCATTGTTTACTAATGTACCCGTAGCCGAAACAATAAACTACCTTTGTGACGTTATCCGCGACACGAACTACCCGTTAGGCATGCCGTTGGAGACGCTAAAAGAGCTTCTGACAAAGTGCACACAAAACGTCCAGTTTCTCTGCAATGGTCAATTGTACAGGCAAATAGACGGCGTAGCGATGGGCTCACCGCTCGGCCAATTCCTCGCAAATGTCTTCATGGGCAAAGTCGAGATGACAAGTTTACAAGACACCATTAATGACCTCAGCTTCTACGGTCGGTACGTAGACGATATTTTCTGCCTGACGGATGTTACCACCGACACAGACGTCCTGATTCAAAAATTCAACAATTCACACCCCTCGCTAACGTTCTCTGCAGAGTTTGAGGCAAACAATGAAATAGCGTTCCTCGACGTTCTTCTGCACAGACAAGAGGATGGGTCTATCCAACGTAGAGTATTCCGAAAGAAAACCTGGACGGGACAATACATTAACTTTCACAGTTTTGTTCCCCTCAACATCAAACGAAATCTAGTCCAGGGATTGGCAGCTAGAGTGCGACGTATCTGCTCTCCTGAGACTGTGGAGGCAGAACTGCAGCAGCTGCGGGATACACTCCACGAAAACGGATATCCAGAAAGATTTATCCTTCGAAATATAGGGGAGCGCACTGCAAAACCTACCATGGCAACTGCAGAAAAGAAGGACTTATTTATACGATTGCCTTTTCAAGGAGACGCAGCAAGTGAACTGGTAAAAAGACGTCTGAAGACAGCGATCACTAACGCTTTCCCCGCGGCGAACTTACGTGTGCGTTTCACTAACTCTCCCCTCCTACGCTTGGGAGGTAAAGACCGACTCCCGTTGCAGGCCACATCAATGTGTATTTATTCATTCACTTGCTCCTGTGGAGCGGGCTACATCGGCCGTACAACGAGGCGTTGGGAAAAGAGAGTACGTGAACACATACCGGCCTGGCTAGGCAAAGGTGAGAAGAAATCGATCTCGAGTTCTATTCTCGCACATCTTGTCGATACGAATCACCGAGTCGATGCCAAAGAAGCCTTTCAGATTGTCTACCGGACACCAGCAGGCTTCTCCAAAGGCCTACGCCAACGGGTGCTAGCTACAGCTGAGGCAGTGGCTATACGGCTAGCCAATCCAGTGCTATGCTGTCAGAAGACTCTGACACAGGCGCTCTGTCTTCCGTGGCCGACGCCGACCACAACGTCGCTCCAACCTCCTGATGCCAGGGTGGGTGCACAAGGTACACGACGCACTCACAGCCTATGCCCCCCCTCCTCCTCGCCCCCCGAACCCAATTACCACGACACGCCGACCACGTCATAGCACGCCTCGTCATGCGAGTGGCGTGGGAACGATCGATGTTAATTGTCCCGAATCATTTATAAGTCATGTAATTCGCATAACTTAAACTTCATTGTAACCGTTTTGGCCTGATGAAGAGTTACTGAAAACACGTGTTCGCCAATTTGACTTTTCAAATCTGCTTCACCTGAAACTATGTCATGCACAAGTCGATGCTGCTGGGCTCACCGCGCGAAACACGAGGTTAACGTCATGATCGTTTAAGGCTGTCGAAATGTCTTACGAGGGTCCGTCGCAGGGCACGCACTAGGCCTACATAGCCAGAGAATGGACTAAAACGCGGCTTTCCCCTAGGGTTTCGTTTAGATTTTGGTCATGGTCAATCAGATGCAAGTGCATTGACGACTACGTAGAGTGAAACAGATGTCTATTGGAAGGACACCTGGTCTGGACAATATACGAACTTCTACAGTGTCGTACCCCTTCAATAGAAACGTAATCTGGTCCGCTGTTTGGCGCAAAGGGTTAGAAAGATCTGTTTGGCAGATAGCGTTGATGAGGGACTTAGAAGAATTCAGGACCTGCTTCGCGAGAACGGGTATCCTAAAAGATTTATTGTAAGGAAATTTGCCGAACGACCGGCAAAACTCACCATACCGATAGTGGAAAAGAAAACCCTGTTCCTCAAAGTCCCCTTTCAAGGCGACACGGCAGCAAGAGTTCAAGTATCGTTTTCGATCAACTCTGTCCTACCCGGGAGGATAAGGATAGGCTACCAGGTGCATTTAATCCTTTACTTGCTCCAATGGAGCAGGCTGTATTGGTCGTACGAGTCGGCGCCTATCCACAAGAATACGAGAACACTTACCGGCATGGCTGAGGAAGGGTGAAGTTAAGAGCATACACAGCTCCATCCCCGCACACATGGCTGATTCTGGGTACCGTGTGGATCCCAACGAAGCCTTCTGTGAGATTTACAAGGTCCCACCTAACTATCCTAAGCGACTGGGTCAGCACCTACCAGCAACAGCAGAACCGACTGCCATCCGGCAACAGAGGTCGGCCCTGTGCGCGCGGAAGAACCTCTTGCACTCTCCGCGTCTGCCGTGGCCAAGGATCGATTAGCTGTATGCATGTCTCTGCGTCCCGCCCCCTCCCCTCCCCCCCCTTGTGACACGGCTCTACCTAGCCCTCACTTACTGCATCCTCTTCCCCCCACTCCCCTCTCCGTTCACATATCCCGTTTGCGTGCACAGCGGAACCGTAATCGAGTGCGCTTATCGGTCACACGTTTCACTTTGTGCCTCCTTCCCGCACAAATGCACAGGCCAGATGAGACTTTATCGAAGGCACGTGTCTGCTCGCCAAATGCTCTTCTGAGATGTCTCCAACTCGGCTGCTATAGGATTTGCAGGCCTTCAAGACGGCGAAATGGGTAAGAGGGGACTTACCGCGACCGCAGGACCCAGCCCACCGAGGTGAGGAGGAGCAGGGCTGGAGGCAGCCAGATATAAAATGTAGGCCGCGGGAACAGAAGCCAAGACGGCTACCGAGATGAGGCAACGGCAGATAAAGGTGGTATCTGGCGCAGCCGGAGAGCTCTTCGAGGTGTATTCCTCCTCCTCCTCCTGCCGGTCAGGGGCTTCGGCGGACGCTGAGCACACAGAGGTGGCACTGGTGGACTTCTGGTCGCGGCGCGCCGGCAGACAGCGCACGAACAGGGCACGGGCACAGAGACCGAACTGTTCATAGTCGTAGATAATGGTGGTCAGGAGAGCCGCGAGTGGTGCAGCCAGGCCAGACAGTGTTACCGCCAGGTGGTAGGTCAGGGTGTTGTAGGCGGCCGCGGAATAGGACTGCAGCGAGGGCAGGAGACCGTTGCTGAGGCAGCTGGCGTAGCCAGTCAGCAGGAAGCAGACGAAGAAGAGCTTACCTTGGCCGTACTTCGGCGCTGGTACCTCTTAAGGGGAGAGCGAACGGGGATATGTGTTGAGGGCAACCAGAGTGAATGTACGAGTGCAGTTTGTAAGTGCTGGGAGCGCCTACGCTTCCACAAACAAGAGCCAACCAATCACTGGAGACCACGTGCGTTTGCTCTCGCTCTACAGCTCTGTCACCTTAATTGTGGCGCCTCGCCATTGGCTACTCACCTCTTCCCGAAGGTCATTGGGCCGAAAGCCGGCGAACCACAGTAGAGTGTTATAAATATGCGTCACCTTTCACCTAGTCGCGACTTGCGGTGTTTTCCGTGGACGGCCGTGTTTTCTTTGTCTGCTGCTTTGGGGGACAAGGATTCAGTGCGTATACGCTCCACGGGATTTCAAGCACCAGGCGGGTCATAACAGTAAGGCAGAGTGGCTTTTAGGAAAACTGTACCAGAAATGGAGCTTACGAAAAGGCAGTTGGTGAACCGGTCTGGCGGCCCAACTCATGCAGGTGGGGAAAGGTCATAACAAATGCCTAATGCGATAATACCCATGTGAGCATTAAAGAACTCAAAGTCAGCAAACGTAGGTTTTCGATCATTCATCGTCAGGTTAGTATGGTAATCACAGTAGAGCAGCCCAAGTTGGACCCACATCTACCAGTGATGAAACACAACCAGAACCCACTGGAAGATCCGCTCTTCCTCTGACCCCACACAGAAGTAGACCACAATTCCTTCCCCTTATTGGGACATGTCTAGAAGCCCGAAGCGCTAATATCCACGCGCCACTTTTGTTTATTCGCTGTTTCTCAGCTATCTCTGCACTACCGCGACGAATTCACTGATGTCGAATGATCGCAAACGAACGGGGGCCGGCTATTAACTTTTAAATTCTGAATGTTTCACCATACAGACAAGCCCGAGTACTGCCTAAAATCCCAGGCGCGTGTATAGTCGATTTCATCCCGTTGAAGGAGGCAGCTGCGAATCTCTCACCGTTCCCTGTGTGTTTTCTGATGCGTACTCCAGCTTTTTAATCTTCTTGAAATGAGGGTGCTGACTTGGAGCAAATCCCTCCGGTTTACACCTTTTTATTCAACAATTGTATACTGTGGAGAGCAGTTTATCCATATTACGCGGGTATTCCGCCGAAACCTATGGACATCTGCTCAGCTATCCATATCAACTCTCGGAGTGAGATGGAGTAGGCTTGTCCCAAATGATTCATTCTAAGTCCGCTCGTTTATTTCTGAGAAAAGTTAGAAAGGGAAAGGAGAGGTTACGGTGAGGAGCGGGAGAAGTGACTAATGACGTACGATAGGAAGTGAGCCCTAGGTCCCTTAGGAATTCAAGCCAGACAGCCTCTTGTTCAACTTCGAGGAAAGTTGATTACTTCCAGAAACTGCGTCACGCCCTAGCTCATTTGAACCTTCACTGCGACTGGCGAAGGCAATCGGAAGACAGTGAAGACGCAACTAACACGAGGAATCTTGCTGTGACAGCCAAACTTGACTGACAGGATGTGTGCGGGCTGTAAAAATAAATCAAATGAAAGAGTTGGGAAATAGGGCATGCACACACACCTTCGGGCTTGCCTACGCCTGCTTCACTTGTGTCTCCCGCTTTAATCGCCGTCTCGTCTGCGGTCACGGGGTCAGTGTAGGTTGTTTCCATGGTCTGAGGTAGGGAATGCAGTTTCTGGTAGGACAGGGTGACGGTCCGACCCAAGCCACAGGGCAGACAGTCCAGCAGGCAGAAGGCCGTGAGACTGAGGAATGTGGTCGCCGCGACAAGGCCCATGAAGGTGGAGACGGGGAAGCGTGGCGGTGGGTACTCCGCGACCATTGACGAGGTGCCATTCACTGGGGCAGACCAAAAACTGAGCGGTTAATGTGGGTAGCTGAGTTAGTGAAGCTTAAAAAACCGAGATTAGGTTGAAAAGAGTAAACCAAGACAACCCCCCCCCCCCCTAAGAGCTCATTAGTTTGGGAGGGATACCTGTGAAAAACTCCGCCTGCAACCATGTACAGCAGTACGGACTCTGCTGTCCAGCGCAGGGAAGGCGCGATACTCCCAACCGTGGGTTATAAAAGGCGTCAATTGGGAGTCCAGAGTCACACAGACGTGTGACTCCGACCGCGGCGAGTGCGCTGACCCGAGGGGAGCAGTCACCTAGACTGACAGCCGCAAAAAGATCTCGTTATATGAGATAACCACAACACTGAATAAACTTTGCGACACTGAGTTGAGCACAGTAGGTAGATCCCGGTAATCGCCGAAAGCGACGACGGAACCGAACGGGGGAGGGGGGCTAGGAGGAGAGCCTTCCCACCTGGCATGGACTAACCGGCGAGCTTGGATTACGCTATCCTGGTCCCAATGTGGACATTGAATGGAAAGAAGGCTGAAGAGAGATGCGGAGATCGTTAGTGGGGAAAGTAGTCGGGACTAAAACAGAAAAAGCAACTTGATGTATGACAAATCTGCGGCGAGATTGAAGGAAGCCTAGAATCCCCACAAAAGACCTGGCTGGTAGGACACGCGGTGCAGCCATAGCCCAAACCTAACGGTAAAACAAACCGTAACCCCAAATTTTAACCTGGCCAAATGTGGCTATGTAGCCCCACCTGAAGTAAACAAACTCCAATCACCCTTGATACGGGACCGGTAATAATAGAAATTTTTACAGGTGGGGTCGGGGAACGCACAGGCGACGAAGTAGTTGTGGGCAAAAGAAAAGCTACTGGGAATGCGCGTTTGTACTTTGAGTGGTTGAGAAATAGTTGCCCTAACCCCTGACCCTAACTCCCAAGCCTAATCTCTAACCCTAATCCTGACCCCTAACCTCGACCCAGTAGTGTTGTGTTCATCAGGTGGGAATACATAACCAGAGCTTGCCGTAAACCTAACCCTTAACGTAATTCTAAATCCAACGCTAGCCCTGACGTTAACACTAAACCTAGCCTTAAACCTACCACAAGCCCTAGCCCTAATCCTAAGCCTAACCTTGACCCTGACCCAAATCCTAACCCTGACCTCAACCGTAACCCAGACATCAACCATAGCCCCAACCTTAACCGCAAACCTACCCTACCAACTCTAACCCCAACCCTAGCACTAGACGTAAAACTAGACCGCAATCCAAACCCAAACTCTAATCGGGAGTTTGAAGGACGCCTAGAATCCCCGCAAAAGACCTAGTTAACAGGACACGCGGAGCAGCACTATCCCAAACCTTAAAGTAGACCTAACTGTAACGCCAGAAGTAAACCTTATCCCTAACGTAATTATAAACCTAGCGCTAACCCTACACTTAATCTTAAACCTACCACAAACCCTTTCCCTAACCTTAGCCTTAACCGTAACCCAAACCCTAACCCCAAACCTAGCCATAACCCTACTCTAACCCCAACCTTAACACTAAATGTAGACCCAAACTGCAATCAAAACCATAACTCTCCCCAGAACCCTTAGACTTGACACAAACCCTAACCCTAGACTCAGTTTTCAGCCTGACGCTAACACAAACCCTTAAACTAACCCTACCTCTAAACCGAAACATCAGGTTGCCCTTTTCGCTTTGGCCTTGGCCACTTTTCCACTAACGATTTCAGCATCCTCCTTCGGCTTACTTTGCTTACGCTGCCCACATTACGCTTACACTTGGAACCAGGACAGCGTAACCGACGCCTACCGATCAATCTGTAAGAAGAAACTGGCTGTGTTGTGGTACTCGGAGATGCCGACATGTTTGCACGTCACTCGTAGCGTCCAGGCGTTGGGACCTTCTGCCTGCACTGGGGCCTGATGATTAACAGGAGAGAATGCACTTGGTGGGACTGCGATAATGCTCGATGATGCCAAGGATTGCACGCTTCCACACGTCATGATTTGTGGTAACAGATTTAGAGAGCTCGATCCACTCTGTTCTCCGAGTGACGGAGACGAAGTAGCCAAGGTTTTGGATTGACCTCCCGTCTCAACGACCGCAAGTGGGTAGCAACACGTAACTCATGGGGTGCGGTACGCGTAACATGTCCAAACTACCTCACCCGATATTTTGTACGGTCTGGTATATTGTCATGATGTGGTTATATCAACTTAGGGCTCTTTAGTTTAAGAGGAAGTCGGTGAACTTCATATTAAAGGGCATTCTCCGGCAATGGCAGTCAAAAGTCTTCAGTTTCCGCTCGTAATTCACACACGCAACTCAGCATCCACAATTGTAAGCAAGCATTAACTAGGTGGACGACGGCAACCGGGACATCATGACAGGTTACTAAACACCTTCGAGTACTTGGGCAAAATCAACTCGGACAACTATGTCGTCCTTCGTACATTTGACAGTACATTTGCCTCCAGGTAGGTGAAATTGTTTACTTCATAAAGATGGCAACCGCTAGTCCTCGAGAGGCGCCCCTGGTCAGAAATGAGAAAACACTTAGGTTTTCTAGTGCCGATGGATAAAGTGACTGATTTACTGACCATGTTTACCTGAGACAATACATTCTGTTAGTTGACTATACCCATCAGCATAGTCAATATCGGTCAAACTGGACGCCACTAAATGGTTGTAGAGCCCTTGGAAGAATCCAGTCTACTCAAACAGAATAGACAACACAATTCTACCCTGTCGCACGCCACGCGGAACATCAGATAATTGGGAGAGATTGTTGTGGAGTAGAAATCGAACGATGATGAAACGATGGCAGGCCTTTAGCACAAAGATTATTTTTACAACCCGAGGTATTCACAGTATCGCCCGAGCTTAGCTGAGCAACAAAGTCGGCAGTCACCCTGAGAACAGAGTCACTCAATGCAGAGTGTCCAACACTAAATTAGAAAATTAGCTGGTAGAATTTAAGACCATCGCTGACGCTTGAGGAGCACAATATGCAGGCCATAACTTTAGTCACATAGTGTTTCTGATTTTCTAATTGGCTTTACCAGAATTCTCGGAAATTGACTTGAGGAATCCTCTCTGGACTGAGGATTTCAATGATGACCACCTTGCTATCGCCCTCACCCTTGACTTGGACCGCGCAAGGCCAGACTATGCTCACGACATCGGCTGCGTCGATAGGTGCCTTGATTTTTAACAGCGGGGCGCCTAAAGTGGGACATTTTGAGCGAGAATGAGAGGTGACCTTTCAGCCGTGTGGGAAACAAAATGTGGTCAGACTCATAGGTGTTACTTGCTCCAGCAACCGGCATCCACCCGCTATCGTAAACTAGGCTAAGAAATGTTCAGTTGGTTAGAATTTGGTCAGTCTCTCTGGCAGTACGACTATCGTTCAAATACCAGGTTAGCAGATGTTTGCGCAGGTGCAGGAAGCACGTAGGGATGACAGGGAGCCGGCTCTGGTCAAGGAAGTCCTGCATAAGACCCAATTAGCATAATCATATTCGCTAACCATTTGTGATTATCTCGAAGGTCAATTCTCACCCCCAAGCCTACTACGGATGGCCATCGCAGACTGCGAACTAGGAGGTGATCCCAGTTCTACCTAATTATCTTGAAATCCCCAATTTTAATGAAAAACAAATTTCATTTTGCGTGGCGAGTAGTGTTGTGAAGTATTGAGGGAAGGACACGGAAATAGGGATCCCGAGGACGGGCAAATACTCCTGTGCCCTAATCCTAACCTCAACCGTCTATTTAATCCTAACCACAACCACAGCCTTCACATCAATCCTAATCCTCCTGAAAAATTAACGCAAGATCCCCGAAGTAGGGAGATTTCCATTCCCTCGTCATGCTTATTTGAACACTAAGTGACGTTAACATAAACAATCGGGTCGTTGCTCAGTGGTGAACTGAGATGTAAGGCCACAAAGCTGTAGTTTGAATTCTGATGGAACAAACTCAAGAGATTTTAGGACTGGGAGAGGCATTCGTGGCGGTAAATACCTTAATACGTCATTGCAGAGTATTGGAGAAGTGGATGTGCTGGAAGCAGAAATTTAAAGCGCATACGTCTTACATAGGGCCCAGACGTTGAGGAATGACCTTTAAAACTGTTCGCTTACCACAAGGCTAATATTGAGCCTACCTGTTTCGGTAGTTCAATGTACTGGCATGAGACTGGGCACATCCGTTATGGGCATTTAATTGCACGCATTTAATTCTTTCACGCCTCCACGGTAAAGATAACTAGGAACTGTGGTACAGCCCGCTATCTAACACCGATTTTATCGGCTCCTAGTGAAAGTAGCACTGCACAGTAACTGGGTCGGCTTGTTCAGAGTTCAAGGCCGGAAATGGCACGAGCCGGACACTGCAGTAGTGAGATCATGTTCCCCCTAAAGTGGACCACGCGGTAGATGTGCTGGACTATCACGGGGGTTAGATCGGAGTCGGCAGAGGCTATGGGGGAACGTACACTCATAACAAATGCCAACAGTCCGGGTACGGTGACAGGCCAAGTTGAGGTTCACATCGCGTCCATTGGGATCCCTGCCGTCCTCCCATTGTTGTTTCTGGTTAAAATCCTAGTTAAGTGGTTGTTGTAGACCAGGGACTGTGGTAGCACGCCTAGGTGCAGGTTTGCGCCCCACCAGCTACCTGCGGCCTCTGCCGCTCCCGGTCTCCTTGACTCTGTTTTGACACCGGATCCAGGTGAGCAATGGAGGAGGGAGTGCAGTAGGTGCTGCGCAAGTCTAATATCACTATAAGCTAATTTACGCGCGAGTCACCGTCCCAGTCCCCACCCTGCTATGGCGCACACTGTGGACGTCTTCGAAAACGACGAACTGTCGGTAGGATCAGCTGCTTATTTGGGGTTCAAAAACCCGCTGTACGTTCAAGAATGCGTGCAGCACTGGCTGAGGACGACGAATAGGCCCGAAACGGTCGTTATTTCAGTGTGAAGAATGGTCCTTATGAGGGTGAAATCTGCATTAATGACAACTGACAGTACAACTCTTTGCGGCGGCAGCAGAGGTGCGGGGCGCTTACCGGTCACATTGTGACAGATGGGTTCCGGATTGGCACCCTGGGTAAGAGCGAAAAGACTGGGCAGGAGACCGCTGCAAGTCTCCCCGAAGAGCAGTGCGCCGGCGTAGACCGCGGGCATATTGGCCAGGTAGGCGAGAAATGTGACCGACGACATGCAGTCGATGAGACCGAGCAGGAAAGTAAGCACAAAAAGACCCACACTATGTCCATTTATGGCCTCCGGGGAGGAGTCGCCCATGTTCACATTTGGGGGAAGGCCTGGCACCACTAGTACCACCTGTAAAAAAGGAAAATCAACTACTACTACTGCTGCAGTTGTTTGAGTAGTAACAAAATCTCTCCTTACACTACCGTAAGCAACACTTTGGGAAGTGACAAACGAATTCAAATCAGTGGAGCTCGTGTGCAAAGAGCTGGGAGATAGAAGAAGGTAGGTGCAAGAGGGATCTGGAGGCGGAGAGAGGCTATTGCTAGGAAAGGGCTGTGGATTAGGGAATCTAATAAAACCTGATGATTACCCGTCCCATCCAGAATTGGCCTCTTCGGCAGAACAACATGTTGGTCTCCTTGAGCAGCTATGGCGGGGAAGTCTTGCAGGATTGAACCGACATCACGAAACGCATCAGAAATAAAGATGACTTGATGGGACACGGCAGTAGGTATCCCCCCGTCTTACAGGTGGCCTTGCGCCAAATTCCAGGGGGTGTCTATTCACGCGTCCTAACCCTAACCTTTCCTGTAATTTAGTGCAAGGTCACACGTAGTTTCTTACTCAAAAAGCATTTGATCCCTGTAAAGTCCCTAGCAAACGTCGTTTCTAAAAAAACGTCCTCTAGCATGCGTTGGAGATAACCACTACTTGTGACAAGCTTAGTAGTGGAATGCACAAGAAAAGTAGATACGATTCAGAAGGAAAAGTGAATCAGTCTCGATAAAACAGAACTTCCAGGAGGGACTTGGCTAAGTCCAAAACACATTGTCTACCGTGTTGAGAGTCCTATTTAGGACACGGGAATAAGTACCTCTCGTATTGCAGACGACCTTGCGCTAAATACTAGTCGAGACTAGGACTGGTGTAAGGGTTAGGGTTAGCAAAAGGTACCCCGACTGGAACTTAGCACAAGGCCAGCAGTACTTATTCCTGTGTCCAACCAATGGTCAAAAATGGCCGGGGTTTCGAGTTTGACTTTTGAACCCTGCTCTTTAGAAGAAGCTGTTGCTAGAGTTCAATTAAATTAATAACTCAAAAGGACGCAGATTGCATCACTACCTGGCACTGTTGAAACCCTTGTTGTGGATTCCTTTTAGAAACTGCGTGGAGTGCCCCTACACGCAAGGCTGCCTAGGGAGTAACAGTCTACAGGCCATCAAAGATGGGCAGCCTGTGCGGCACCCGTCGCCCCCTCCTGTTTCGATATCACTCGAGAAGCCAAACATGTTATAGTCCAGTTGCTCAGTGGGCGTCAGAAGTGATCTGTGTAAAAAGGTACGGACAGCAGTAGCCTCCCAGTGTGCATACATTTGGCATCAAAACCTCCGTTGTCTTTGCGAGAAGGTAAAGCCGATGCGAGCTCACATTTTCATCGGAATTTAAGACCAAAAATGTGAAAAAGTTCAGTGTTTATGGACCGTGCACAAGAGCAGCTGTCGGCGAGTTGAATTCCGTCGCTCCAGTTACCGGTCTAACATGTAACAAGGCTTAAGGGCGTGCTGTACGGGCAGGTCGCTGAAGCTTGATTTTCGCAGCAAACATTCGGTGGGGTCACCGTCAGACCAGCATCGAAATCGGGAACGGGCGGAAGCTCAGAACGTCAATTCATGTGCAGGCGAAAAGCGCAGTTGAAAATCGCACCGAAGGGCACTCTTGTTGTAAAAGTCACCCGAAAACCTCATGTGACATTTGACACAGAAGCAGTGCAACAATCAGGCCTCAAATTGAGTAGAAATTACGGGCAACCTGTTGACAGACTGCTGTTTTCACACACACAGAAATGCCGTTAGCCGTACCGAACACAGAAACGCCATCTGCTGAGTGGCAGGCAGCCCTGTTCCAACAAACTACACCCACGGTGTATGGTGGCTTCGGCATCGAGTGCAGGCTTCCAACAACCATCAGCGTATGCAACCCAGATTGTCCACATGACTTTAAAATCTCGACAGCGTGTGTCAGATATTTGGCCAAGCTAACCATTTAGACGAGTGGGAGCGATGAAGCCTAGTGAAAACTCATTAGCTGACTGGTGTTGCCAATAACCAGGTCGGCTGTACACTGAGTAGTGAACAGCCGATACACAGACATCCTGCCTATGTTACGCGCTACTATGCGGTTGTTAGCGGGGCTCCAGAGAGAGCCCATGAGGCGCAAAACGAGATGAGAGAGTTTCGTAACGCGATCGGTAAGCACCTCTCTACCACTTTCTTCTTCCACGGACTTTCACCCTGCAATAGAAAACGAAAAAAACGGCCTAGTAAGGCAGCTTTTTTCTGCCGTCCAGCGTTTGGACGACCGAAAACTCGATTATCGCCAACGCCCACGTCCATCGAGTTCCCCCTACAGAGTGCACCAAGTTAGACGCGCATAGCAGCTACCGCGTTGTTTCTTACCGCCATACGACATTGACCCGCTACATGTACCAGGCTAATGCAAATGCGCCTCGAATCTCAAGTCAGTGGGAGGGTCATGACAGCGATATTCGGAAGGAGGCATTACGGGCAGTTCTGAAAAGGACCGAGTTATCCAGTCACTTGGCAACCTTCCAAACCCCGACTGACAGCGCGTTGGGATAGACTCAAGCGCTTTCGATTTAATCCAATGAGAAATGTGCTGATGTGCCGTGAGGCTGGATTTCCCCAGTGTCAGCCTCACTCGCCAGCACCGACCGATTGTATGAGCCAATCAACAGTCGGATTGGGCGCAATGCCTGACGCGACATGAAGGCCTAGGCCCAGGGTGTGACATCATACACCCCTCCCGTGGTTATGGAGTCGCGCGGGGTCAGTGCAGTCTGACAAACGCGTGCCGTGAACCGCCTCAGCGCAGCCAGCTGTAAGCAGGCACACATGCGAACCAATCGACATGCCTTCCTTGCTGAATTGCAAGGCGGGCTCACTTTGGTCTTCGAGGCCCGCTTTAGCGTCAGGACGACAAGCGTATTTGTTTTTCTTTTTTTAATTAAAGACCCGTATCCATTACTTCCCGCTCGTGGCAGACGTGGCGGCCAAGTCTCGTCGGAGGAGAACTGACTTGTACTCGTACTTACTTGATACGGTTGCGATCATGCCTGATCTAGCCGGCCTCGATGATGTCACGAACTGTACCTATCCACGCGTGACGATCCGCGGCAGCAGTTCTGGACAGCTCAACCCATTCCCTTCGCCAACGACGTAGGCCGAATAGCGAAGGTCCAAGAACCACCCCCATGTCTTGAAGAACTGTGTCGAGCCTGGTTTTGAACCGACCCCCCCCCCCCCTTCGACGCCTCCAATGGGGCAACGGCAAAGTCGATGAGGCTTATGCCGCGGTAGTTCTCGCATCTCGTCTTATCTCCCTTCTTGAGGATAAGTACAAGGATGCATAAGCCCCAGTCATCAGGAACAACCTCGTTTCTCCACGCTCGTTCCATCACCTCATGGGGTCAGGGCGCCAGTGTCGACACAAGACTTGAAGATTGCAGCGGGTATACCGTCCTCTCCGTGTGCCTTATTGTTGCGTAACTTTCGTATGGCATCGACGACTTCTCCTTCAGAGTGGGGTCCCATGGCACTGCATGGGTGGGAGAGGGAATAAACTCCGCTGAAGAGGAGAACAGGGACGAGGTAGGTTGGGTATCAAAATTGAGATGGTGCTCAAAGTGCTCACGCCAGCGCTCGACTTTGGCCGAGTTATCAGCAATAAAGCCGCCTACAAGAGACCAAGCACCCTGCTACGCTGCTATGAGTTAGGGTAATGACTTTGATACAGGCATCGGTTGGGTTAACCTCAGGGATATCAAAGTCAGCGGGGAAAGAACAGGAGCAAGAGGAGCGGAAGGGTAACAAAAATGAACCCTCAAAGACCTTTAAGAGCACAGTAAGCAACATGAAGGGATTATAGGCAAAAAAGACCGAAAATGCCCAGATTGAGATGGCAAATTAAACTGAGAAACAAGGATATCACGGACAGAGTGCTAAAGTAGTAAGCCCTAATGGCCCCAAGATTAGACGTCTACCAACTCCACGCACGTCCCAAAATTGGGTTAGCAGAACAGAGGCCAGGAAGCCGAAGAGAAGTATTGTATAGTTTGCCAGTCGTTCAGGTGGTTGTATCAGCTGCATCCAGCGGCCACTGGCACGACGGTTGAAGGCCCGACAGATTCGCGTGAGTACTACGTAGAGTAGGGGTCCAAAGTTTGCTATCTGCAAATAAAGTGTGACAGAGAACAGAAATGACTGCACGCTAGGGGCTCGGCTTTCTGAGAATGGCTGACATAATCCTCCCTGCCTTGGTCAGCAAGACCTTTAGCTTATTTACCACAAGGTGCTATGTGGTTGCCTGTGAAATTTAGACGCTCGCACCGCATCCAGTATTAATGACAGAATTGTAAATTCCAGGCACATGTGGCCTTGACCACTTTAGATCGTAGTTCCGCTAGAGACGGTGGCTTAAATGGTAGTTTTTGGCCTAATAAACAAAGTTGACATTCTTCCGGCCTGATCTGAGGCGTTATCAGCTGCAAAAAGGAAACATAGACCGAAAAAAGTCATTCCAGTCTCCCTCAATTGTTGTATGTGCCTGATCACAACCGACAGGACAACGAGCCCGTGGCTCAGTGGTTAGGAGCGTTAGACTTCTAGCGAATAGGTCGCAGGATCGAACCTCAGGGGGCTGGGTATGGCCGGCTGACGACAGGGCTAGTAAGCCAGAAATGGCCATTTCAGTCCCCCTTGTCTTTGTCTTTAATGTTATTCTGTCTGTACTACTAGCCGCTGTGCGATTGCTGGCGAGCCTCGAGATCGAACTCAAAGGCACAAAGCGGAACGAGTGTGCTTCATATCGCGATCGGTGAGCGTCCCTCTACCACACCCTTATGATGTCGGTAGTTGCCACCGATTAATGGCTTACTGTTTTTTTATATCAATAACGAGTTTTCTGCCTTCCTACTTAACCTGCTTTGGGAATCTTGAATGCAACTCTGAGATATGAAAAATCCGATTCCGATTACTGGCACGGCATAACAAAACAGTGCTTCGCAGCTGGTTTGCCGGCCAAATTTTAATGGTCGGACCTTTTATTAACTTTTTTCAGGTTTTTGTATTGTGCAACTATGCAAAACTGGCTTTCAGCCATATCAGAGTTGGCCTCTATTTGGGACACAGATTCGGGCCCCTATTTCCACGATCGAGATTGTTAATATCTCTACTGAAAGGGACGCTCTTACAAACCACTCAGTTGTAGAACGTATACCCCCTCAGGTAGGCCCACTGCCCCCTCGTCCAGTCCATTAGGGCGTTGGACTTCTACCCAACAGGTCGCAGGATCGAACCCCAGGGGCTGCAGAACCTGGGTCTGAGTATGGTTGGCTGATAACGGCTAATAAGTCAGCGGGAATGGTCATTTCAGTCTCCCTTGTCGGTAAGTGTATTCTGCCTATTTTACTAGCCACTGTGCAGCTTCTGTCGGGGTTCGAGATTGGACCTGTAAGGCACAAAACAAGACGAGTGTGTCCCATATCGCGATCGGTAAGCGTCCCTCTACCACTCCCCTAGTACGTCTGCAACTGTTCGCGATCAGCGGCCAATGTCTCTTCATGTCACCAACGAGTTCTCTGCTGTTTACCTTAACCTGGATTGGGAATCTTTAATGCGGCTCTGAGGTATGAAAAAATCCAACTGGTACAGCATTACGTAACAGTGTTGGGCTGCTGGTAGGTTTCGCGTGATTTAATTACGCAAAACCAGCTTTAAGTCGCATCAGAGTTAACACCTACTCGGAACAAAAATTCCGGGCCCATCTTTCCGCGATCGCGATTGTAAACAGCTCCGTTGAAAGGGAAACTCTTACAAACAACTCAGTTGTAGAAGGTATACCCCTTCAGGGGGCCCTCTGCCCCTCCTGGTTAGGTCCTGGTGGTCGAGAGAGGTCGTTCGCCTCTTATTTTGCAGCAAAGGTGGAGTGGGCACTTCGCCTGCCTAGATCACTCTGTGGAAACAATCGTAAAAGTATGCTATCTCATGTTATTAGCCTTTGGAGAACTGGGATAGCTTGCGCACTCTGTTGAAATACCACTCGGTGACTCCGCCGTATGTAAGAGGTTGGACGAAGCCAAACGGAGCGGTCATATGCTAACAGGGTTCCCTAACGATTCTGAACCCAACCTGCCATTTGCTCCTGCGTTCTGATTTTTGAAAATACCCACTGAAGACTTTACGTTTGGGAAGAATTCTACATTCCACTGTGCTATCGAGGAAATGTCAGCTGGTGCTCATAACCTTGTGCAACATATATGCATCACGGCGTACACTTCAAAAGCAGTAGTAATAAACATGCAGATACGGTTTTACTTGAGTAAAAATCTCCGCGGCCACAAATTTTTCTATAATTATAAACTTTTTCAAAGCCGAAAGATGCCATTTCTTTGAGCCAAATATTTGCAGAAGACATTATCTCCCATAAAGGGAGGCACTCTTCTGTATGCTGTATGTGTTTGAGTTTATAAAGGCGGCGGAAATCAGTTGAAAAATGCAGACTACTTAAGTATTCATCCTTACCGAGTGTTAGTTTCGCGGGTTGCGGAAAAGGAGCGCATGCTATCGAATATTGCGACTCTTCCTGACCCGCCCGCTGGATGAGTTTCTACCGTCTTGGGTTTCGGTATGGCTCACTGACTGACTGCAGAATATGAGTCAAAAATGGGAATTCCAGGCTTCAGCGCTTTGTCAGAAGCACTTCCTGATTACGAACTGCTCATTGCTATGCAACGCGCATGCGTACCAGTCAGACCAAATCTTCAAATCAGAATGCGGAATGGAAAAGAGACGCTCACCGATCGGTTTCACGGAACTCACTCATCCCGTTGTGTCTTAGGGCTCTCTCGAGCCCAAGTAAGTGAGTTCCGTAAAAACGATCGGTGAGCGCCCCTCCACCATTGTATATTCGCGATCGCAACCGGCTGGACGAGCCCATGGCACAGTAGCTAGAGGCGTTGGTCTTTTAACCAACAGGTCACGGGATCCAGTCTCAGGTGTTACACACTTCCGGATTGGGCATGATTGTCCGACGATGGTTAGTGAGCCCGAAATGGCTCTTCCAGTTCCCCATGTCTTTCATAGATGTTTTGGCAGATTTTAAATAATATATATTGATCCAACTGTGAAAAACCTGACGCCTCAGTTGGATTCGAACCCACGACAGCAAGGGTTCGGTAATGCTGTCCTGCCTAAAACGCGGAATCGCCACTGCTCTGTCCTACAATCAGGAGCGGCCACAAAACCTCACACACGGCACTTCGGATGCACAAGATTGAAACCGATGGGATATGAGCCAGTGGTCTGATAGTATGTCCTCTAGCACAAATGTTCGACATGTAAGACATCTGAATTATATTAGGGGGCCTTCCCAACCTGACTGACTGACGACTGACAGAGTCATTTCAGACTCCCTCGCCACTACCACCGACAAGACTAAAATGCATGTTTACAAGGTTGCTACTTACCTTCGAAGGGTAAATGTCTGGATCTGGTTATCGACTTCGGAAATGATGCGCTCGATTGTACACTCACTATATTCATTTCCCTGGGCTACAATGATCTAGTCGACGTCTGGCTATTTGCCCTGAAAATGACTTGTTCGAAGATACACTTACCTTGCTTATTTGCTTACTAATAGCTTACGACCGGGAGAAAATTTGGTAACTATATGGCGCTGTAACTTCACTTACCTAGTCCATTCTAGTCGAAACAATGTTTTAACCTCCCGGACAATGTTCCATAAATTTGGTTACTTACTTCAAAGAACTGTACTTTCGAACGTATACTGGCTTATGACGGTTACTTTGCCGTATCAAAAACGGTAAACAGCAAAACAGTCCATTTAGATGGGTGGCCTGAAGGAAGGGGATTTGAACGGCAATCAGTCTACAGCACTAGTTTTATACAAATATTTTCAAATATATATATGTAAATGTACAGGCCTGAAGAGAATTTATCGAAAGCAGACGTATGCTCGCCAAATTGCCTTTTGAATTTTACAATGGGAATTTTCGCAACTCAAAATATTTTGTTGTTGGCACTGCTTGTGTCGACGGTGAGATTGCAGATCTCCAGCTCGATCGCATCATTAACGGGATACTTTGCGTTATTTTCCTTCCCGCCTTTAGTCCAGAGCATTTTGTGCGTTCAATGACAAACAACAGTCATTGACACGGAGCAAACAGACGGACAAACAACCACTTGACCCAACCCTAACCATCCATCCGGTGTCCTGTGAGTAAAAGTGATTTCGCAATGACCCTTCTCTGCAGTGCAGAGTTTCGCAATCGGTACATTCTCTTCAGAAGTCACGAAGGTGAGGCGTGAGTCCAGACCTCATCCGAGACTGTATCAAGTACACGTGTGTCAAGTCGCAGCACCAGTCGACCTTGAGTTCACTACTCGGTGGAGGAGAGTAAGCCAACGGCTTACATTTTCATATGGCAACGTAGTACTCTGCGATTTTTGGCTTCAATAGTCCAAGTACGATAGGGGGCGCAGTATTTGCTTGTGAGCTTACAAAACGCCCGGTTTCCAGAATACTTAAAGGGTTGGAAGCGTCGAAATAAGTTGCAGCGTCATCAGAGTGAACAGGTAGGTTGATCGCAAAATTGGCAGATAGGAAGGGATATTTATTGGGCATATTGCGTGTAGAAACAAAGAACCCTCTTTTACACACAGGGGAAATCATTTCTACCTGAACTTTAGTGGTTACATATAATCAGCAGTGATGAACTCAACAGTCTGGCTCAAAACGGATTTCAACGGTTATGATAGTCTGTAGAGTGAGATGTATGTGTGAACCAATCCGAAATCATTCTTCCCAACTCACATGACAGGCTGAGTTATTGTCTGTCTGATAATTTTACCGGCTTTGCACGGCAAACCTCTCTAGTCCTTGCCTCTACTTAAAAAGGCTTCGATCGTCTCTGGCCTAGCTGGTATTGACATCTTAGTGCACGCGACGATCTGCTCTAGCGAGTGTGGCGAGATCGATTCGTTTCCGCCTCCGGCGATGGAGGCTGACTGCCGACGACTCAAGAAACCCTTCGATAGCTCAAAGCCCCGCGAAGCGATGGATGGATGACAGGATGTCCAGTTCTCGATGACCTGGAGAATAGCAACTATTAGCATCGGTTTAGGGGATTAGCCACTAACTTGTATTAGAGGTCACCGATATCTGAGGGCTACTTTGTGGTCACCATTCGTGTAGGCTAGAAGGTGAGGCCTCTTCCTCTTCCAAGGGCTGAGTCCCAACCATCGGGTACGATTCCGTCTCCCCATGATTGTTAGGTTAAGGAGGTTAACCACTAACTTGCCTTAACTTGTTGATGCCCATTTTTGGTCAGCATTGAGGCAGACTAGGTTGGATCCCTTCCTCGTAACGCGCAGTGTTTGGAGCCGAAAGAAAATAAAGATCGCGAAGATCATACAGCACTGTCAGATAAACGTGTGCTGCGATTGTGCTGGCACTTCATCTTATCTGCCTTCTCCATGGCAGATAAAAGGATGCCCAAGTCCCAACCATAATTCCGTCTCCCCATGATTCCTATGACATTTCATCGAGCCAGGATGCCGGTGTCGACACAAGACTCATCAACTGCAACAAGGGCACCGTCCCAGCCGTATGTTGCATATCCTCCGAGCTGCATAAGTAAATTCCCCCCGGGGCGGAGGGTGAGATGACACTGTGTGGAGGCGGGAAACAGCTTTAACATACCCTTATTCAAATAGCCACAACCTCAAACACAAACTGGGACCGGAAATTAAGGCATGCGCATATACGAGGAAGGAGGTCCACCCTATGGGTCAAAAGCACTCCATCGCACCGAAGCCATCTAACCCAGTCAAAACATTCAAGCGATGGGTAGATCATGATAAGAAAGCGAGAGAGAGAGAGCGCACCTCAACCAGTAGATGCAACAGTAGAGGACAACAGTATCCTTACTCTGCTGGTCGGAAGGCGACGTAGGGACAGAGATGTTGGTCTTACGTATGCCCACCAGTCACTGACTGACTCTCGCGCAACCTTCGTTTGTTTCCCTCGTTTTGATATAGCAATCACCATGCTCTGTCTACAAGAAACATCGCGTGGACCGCTGCCATAAAGAAACTGTATTAGGCTCTGCGGCTCTTAATTGCCTAGCGGCAAAGGTTCAAACTTTGGGTGATAGACGGAAATTAAACATTCGTACAGCAGTGCCGAAGACTGTGCGCTGTCCGGTTTTGGGTATTCGGATAAGGGAAAGTCAGTTCGCTTCAGAATTCGGTACTAGCAGCTCGCTAGCGGCTGACTAGTCCAGTTTTCATGCCATTCGACCGCACCAGTAGACCAAAGTTGCAAAGTGTATCGGTCATTGCGGGCGCCGCAGCAGAAATTACACCCTACGTTCGAGTATTTCCATGAGTTTATTATGAGTCCTTCGTGCACGTGGATTCGCAGAAGCCTTTTTGGCTCAGATTATGAGAACTGGCGGTAATTCGTAAACATGGAAGTCAGAAAACGCCTACCGACTGCAGAACCAAATGTAATTAAACTCGCGTCGTCCGGTGGGGCCTTGTAGTTCAGGCGGCTAGAGCGTTGGTTACTAAAGCCTTCCCTTTTGCTGTCGTGGGTTCGAATCCCACTGAGGCGCCGGGTTTTTCATAGTTGGGTCAAAATGAATCAAATGGGATATATCAGCTGACAAAGCACCCAAACACGAAATGAGGAAGGTCTGCGGTTTCCGTCTGTTGCGCAGGAGACGAGTTCTACCCTGTGAGCTAGCTGGTTGCGAGTTATATGTCAGCAGGCGTAGCTGACCACTTCTTAATTTAAATCCATAGGACAAATCGACTGAACGTAGCTGCACGCTCTAGTAGCTGATGGGAGGTGGTTCGGCATTCTCCGACACAAAAAAGAAGAAAGAATCTCCGAAGCCCTGAATTATAGAAGGCGATGAAGTTCCCATCAACTTAATCTAGGGAGACACTCCTCTGTATTATTCGGCAATGACCATGGTCGCAGTTATTGACTGTTCGACAAAGACCATCCACGCTGCTGAACCCTCGCGTGATGCATCAGTCTTCAGCAGCGATCTGAACCAGGAAAGAAGGCACTGCGGTCCCCGTAGTGCAATTTACATCGGTGTTTGCACCGGTGCTCATAGCCACCTTACTGCTCACGTCCGGATTGGTCCCCGAGTCCGTCAACTGTTTGCCTTGAACTCCGCGGCGTTGTCGGTTGACGTGTGCCGCGCAGCCGGGTTCACCATAGAGGATGTCACGAGGCCATGGGTGAGTGTCGTACAAGTCTAGTAGGCTTCCACAGTCTCTCAGTTCTGTGGTTGTTCGCTCAACTAACTATCCAGGCGCCCTTGAAGGCGAACGGGTAGCATTGGCAGACTCAATGGGTTCATCCTTCTCATCACCTCAAGGTGTTTCTTTAAACGTATTCTCCGACCTAATTTGACTGGAAAGAGCTTCATCGGACCTCACAAACAGAGTGAGGCTGCGCTTCGTGACAGGATGTACTTTAATCACATTATCTTAAATCATTAAGCGGCAACAATTGTCGGGGGTTCCAGTGGAAGACAGGCGACGGTCTCAAAAACATTGCTGATACACGATGGTGCTCGTAAAACTTCGTTTTTCTGCTGTTTGTCCTTTGTCTCATGAACTGACTGCCAGCAATGGTGGCTCTCGCTACCCTTCATTTGCAATACTGGCTTGCAGGAAATGAACTCGCATAACCGTCTGTAGACAACACCAAAATGCTAAGCCGTAGAAGGGGTTTAATCGATAAAGAAAAACCGGGTTCAATGAATAGAACCCCCTGCATGCGCGCAGATATAATTTCGTAATTTTGTCAGAAATTTTTAAATTATCATAAAGTATCTTCGGAATAGGCCACTTAAGGTCTGGTCCACATGTTAATTTAAGCATCTGATATGGAGGTTATCAATTTCAGTTGGACAACCGCATAACGTTCTTTGTCCAACTTCTGCCGAACCGCTGACGAGCTGACCTCATACATGCCTTCGGTAACTGCCAGACAACCGGCAAAACGCGTGTCCGGGAACCTACATACTGTGCTTCACGTCATGCTCCAAGGTGGGAAGATTATTCTAGCAAACCTGCAAGAATTATGGCATCTGAAAACCTGACACATTCGGCGTAGTAATATGCTGCCGCTGCGAAGACCCATACAGACCGCTTTCGCATATAGAAATACTTCCAAAGCCTGACGTACAAAAAGCATGCATTATCAGTGAAACCTGTGCTAAGTGTCGGTGAGGATACTATTCACCGCCCTGATGAAATTATTCATGATATTGGAATCCTAAAATGTGTCTGAGGCCGAAGCGTATCTTGTGAAACAACCTTCTCCAAGGCGAATAAGCATATTTAGTCCCACAACCTCGAACAAGACTAGTTCAAAATTTTGTTCTTTAAAATTTCAAAATAGCAGATTGTTGCAATGATACCCCCTTGACCTCTAACAACCAAATCACAGCCCATGCCGCCGTGACAACTTTATAATTTGCATAGGTAGGTGAGTCGGCCTTTTCGGCATGGATTGTAAACCCACGTAATAAGCCACATAGGAAAGTACTCGTGGTTTCTCTCTACTGGTTATTCAGAACGCAAATTCTCTTTTCGTAATCAGTTGCGGCGAACAGATTCAGTACAAACAGCCAACTGGGCGTTAGAAAAGTTGGCCTGAGTTAACCAAAAATGTGTCGGCTTGGTCTTTTTCGATGGCTAAATGCTTCGATTAGAGCAGCGTATTTGATTAAGGAATAATTCTTTGCTCAAAGGTAGGATAAGAACAGTGTCCGGACAAGGGGTTTTATTTACTTCGGCTCTAGCATTACGCCCAAAAAGACCCGCACAACAGGGCTCGTTTGATCAACGGCAAAAAATATGTTCATTCGGACACTTCGAAAACAGTTTACACTACCTTGGGAAATGTGCAACAGTAAGTTTCACTGCAGGAAACATTTCAGCTGCCTGTATCGGTTATGACAAGGGTATTTTACGTTTTAAAGAAAAAAATGCTGCTTACAACCGACTTCAAAATAAAAAGATCATATTGTAACACTGCGTTTCACTAGTAGTTGGGAGTCAAGCCCAGAAGAAAATTAAATATGGTACTTTTGCACGTCTCCTAAGATGGTAAAAAACCTTGCTGTCGGCCACAGCGTTTTGACTATGCTCTCCTAGATGTGTGTTCTAATCCAAAACAAAATGCAGTAGTTTGCTTCAATTTTGACCTTTGCGGTCTGCAGCATATCTGCTTTGTGATGCAAGTTTCATTGCACCGGTCAAATCAACATGGGTTTGAACAAATTAATCCCTTAAAACGCCTTCAGTAATTCCCAACGCCTTCGGGCACAGTCTGTGAGCACTCTTCGACCTCCGATTGCAATTACTCCTCCAGCAGGAATGACACAATGTCCTTGGAACATTTGATGAAAAATAAATATGTAGGACATGGTTTTTGTGCTTTTTCCCCAATTTAGCAGGGTACGATGTGGCAGTCCACTATGGACCAAAACCTCTACCCTCAAAAGTGCTACTCAATAATTGCTTCCTTCGCAAAACTGAATAAAACTATTTTATTTTGGAAAGTGATATATGAGTGTTGCATACGACTATCAAGCTACTTTGCGGTTCCTACAGAGTGAAAGCAGACCCACGAAAGATCAGGTCTTGATTAGAAAGGGTTACTTAAGAGAATTTGTAAAACTGCTTGAAGTGCAATATAGTCCAAAGGTGCTTCACACGCGCCAAGACAATGGCTTTTAAATGCGCGTCTTTCCGCTCACGATTATAAACTACCTTTAAGTGACTATCGAATTAGCACGGGTGTTTTTACAAAATCTTCGACTCGGGCTTAAATTCAACCACATACTACAGAAAAAGGAACAAAAAGTGCTCCTTTTGTACTTGTGTTTTATTTAGATTCTAAAATTGAGGGAATAGCACCTTCTGGCTTCAAAAAGTTTGGAGTTTGGAGAAGTCTTGAGACCACAATGCGATTATTCCAGTTTCATAATATCCACATCTGAATGCTACACTTGAGGTACAAAACGCGCCTCATATTTAAAGAAAAATTGTATGAGCAATGAGTGGTCACTCCCTAGTGGCAAAACGAAATACGTGAATCTACTCAGATAAAATATCAACGCCAGGCAATGAGGGAACCCTATATTTGTAAGCTAACAGCAGGTCGGATGTAAAAGTGTTTCAGTAAAGGGATAAATTGAGATATATTGCCCATCAAAAGGAGTATGAAGAACGATATTTTGAGGCAGACTTACTAACATATATGTTTGGGTTTCTTAGGCATCAAAAATCTGCGGAGAAATCTAGACTGTTTAGGAAACTGTTTTTCTTTAGCGATCATGACCTTTTACGATTGCTAGAAATATACTTATGTAAAAGACATCCTGTCGTGTATGGCGAACTTTAGGGTCACGCACCATGGTACCCAATATTGCAATAACAACTAACTAATGCTTTCGGGTCGAAACTTCGTTTCAGTCGGCAAGGCGCTAATAATTAGGAATTCAGAACAATGGGACTGAGCATTTTCCGGTATACGTAAACAACAAGAGTGTTCAGTGAGGTAACAAGTCTGTTAGTGTGCATGAGTGAGTTTTTTGGGAACCAAAGGTAGTTCATCGACGTGCAAATGTCGGTAGTGTTAACAACGATCAGTCGTTATCAGAATACGTAGGTCCCAGTAACCTAACCGCAATGGTTTTTTGGTTGTTCGGAAAGGCTGAGAGTAGGTATGCACTTCATCGTCACCGTACTGATTCCTTTAACGTCCATTTGGACAACTTTAGAGCTTTTGAATGCGGTTTAGCAGGCACAATAGATTCTACTATAACGTACAATTTTTAATATTACAAAAAACATTGCCTCGATTTTGAATTTCGAACCAGCTACGAAAGCATTCGGTTAGCGCATGCTTCTCATCAAGCCTGATAATCCAGGGAAAACAAGCTCACCTGAATTATAATGGACAGATAAGCAGGTAGGTTCCATCGCTCTGGAAGGACGTTGACTAACAGTGGTAATTCCATCCAGAGGCCATTGATTGCAACCCAGGAGCTCACACCAAAGATTCCCAGAAGTACCGCAAGCCACCACGAAAACGAAACATGAGCAACGTGATCATCAGTAACTTCTACGGTGACCGAATGGAGGTCAGCTTCCAAGTTGGGTGCGGCTTTCTCTGTGCCCATACCTTAAGCTTAATGTGAGGAACAAGCAAACGGTTATGAAAAATAGGCATGACGAAAAATCAGATAAAGATCTGTGTAGACGGCGGTAGTGAGTGTTTAACTTAGGAACCACGGGCCTAGCTGGTGGCTTTAGGCGCATGTTTATATTTAGATGATATCTGAATCAGCATAACAGCTTTAGGTAACAAGCGAACCAGACACCAACCCTGCGGTTGGAAAGCAAACCTCTACGTTTGTACGATATATAACGATTTTCGGTGCTTCTGTCTCTTGTGTGTCTCTGTTTCCCGAGTCGCGTATTCAACTCAGGAAAAGTTCCACAAAGCAATTTTTAGTTTATTCGATCAAGTAGCACATCATGAGACAACAGCGGCAAAGTTTTCAGAGAAAAACAAACTCTCCCGTTACTAGTTTAACAGCAGGATACGACTGATGCCAAAAATAGTCTTATTTCGTACTTTGAATACGGATAAAATACATTAACTTACAGGGGTGAACTGCAGTTTACACCGTTAAGTTAAGAGGAAAGAGGGCAAAAAGTGGTATTACATGGGGCGAACCAAAACAGCTTTCACTCGAGTGAAATGTGCTTCATACCGTATTTAGGTTAAAAAAATTAGTCTTTTGTACTAAAACGGTCAGGTTAACCCGAGCCTTCTACATTCCGTATTCAACAGAGAGAACTCAATGACGTTTTTATGTAATTATTGCCAAGGACTACCTATTCAAGACAAAAAGGCTACGTACATACATGACATCATGTGGAGAGGGAAATACCCACTGAAAAAGGCTCTTTGATTTCAAATGTCTCGAAAATTTTCTCTCAGCAGGTCTTCTGAAAGTGTCCAATACATCTTGCACTCACTGACTTCTATCTATGTATGGATGCTTATGACTCCATTCTTACTTGCTATATCATTGTGAGGATAATTATCCCTTTGATTATTATTGTTATGTGTTGACCATAACGTGATAAAGGCCTCTTATAGTGGTTATAACTTGGACACATCCTGATGTCAGAAATAATAGGCTTTATGACAAAAAATAGTTCAAACATTTTACAAATCAAAGCCGGACGTCACCAAAAGATCCGAATACGACGTACACACCCACAAACCACAAGTTCATTACTTCGACGCCGTTATTGATCGGTTAAAAGAAGTCTGTCCTCAAAACATTACTCACAGTCCCTAAAATACGTAGACGACTTTTAAAATACTATACACATGCTTAATGGCCAATCTAATTGTTGAGGCTATTCCCAATGAATGGCTTGCTGGATTAACTGTTGAATAGCCATGAAGATGGGCCTTGAATCCTGCGCACCGGTTACCCGGGCCAATTCCAATTAGCTTTTCATGGTAAGAATCATGCATAGTCGGGGCTGCACTCTGAAACGGTAGTACCTGGATCGATCTGATGATAAAGTCCGCCATACGGGATAATTTGGCCATAGTCACTGCCGGTGGAGGAAATCTGAGCAAATATTTTTATTAGAAGGGTAACAGAAGCTAAATGGAATGCGACAGGCAAACTCCTCGAACATCGTCGGAGCAGTTTGTAGGTCTTCGTCTATTTTCGCTTTTTCACTGAAAATTTTCTTGTACACCTGAAATCTTTTGTCCAGTTGTTTAAATAACCGAAAAAAGTACGCACAATTGGTTTCAGCTTGATAAATCGCGTGCTTGGTGCCTGACATCGGCGTGCTGTCAGTACTTCAGTCATTTCACTCACGGGCCCTATTCCCTTATTAGTTACTTCACAAGTGACATTTTTATTTCTCGGAATATCCCGTCGGACCTCAATCCGCCTGAGCAGCAAGCTTCAACAACCGACTTCAGCTCGGAACATTCCGGTCTTCGTCGGTATCATTCACTCCACGACGACTGATATTGTAGGAGAACTCGTTTTCGTGATTCTGTGCAGTTATTTACTTTTGCAGTTTTCCCATTTTTACCATTGTTTTGTCTGTTAGAAACACAGCATTCCCCACCTAGACTTAAGGTTTTTGCTGTACCTATTTTTCTTTGTAGTTTTAATTTCAATTAAAACCACATACGGCATGCCGTTTGCAGTACAAAAGTGGTGACCCCGTTTTTTCACATTTACACACCCTTATATTTGTAGACCGATAACGAATCCAAAGTAGACTCCTTGAACGCTTACACCCTTTCCTTCTAATGGTTCTCATTTACTCTGATAAACTTCGCGTATGTTTTCGGAAAACTGAGGCCGCTTTCTCGACAAGCCGTATCACCACTGATTGCACGCGATATTTATACGTGATGCAGAGTCTTCCAATCGATGTCGCCGTTGATATGGATGACCTCCTCGACCCGACTCCTGCCGACAAACTTTATATTCAGTTAAAGGACGCTGTGATCAAGCGTGTAGACAAATTGTAAAAACGGATGCTCCGGGAACTTTTTACGCAAGTGGGACTCGGGAACCAAACACCCTCGCAGCTTATGGGGCAAATGCGTTCCTTGCTCGCCGGTCGCCATATGGATGACACAGTCTCCTCATAAATCTGGTTAGATAAGTTGCCACTTCCCATGCAACAGGTCTTGGTTGGTTGGGTACAAATACTCCTGTAGAAAAAATTACCAACCATGCTGACTAAATCAACGAATTTCATCCGATCGGCGCACCATGCGTAAGTATTCGGCAGACATCGACTCTCAAAGGCACGGCCGCTAGAGTGGCCAACGCTGACATCGGAATCACACCTAAGTCTGATCGCGACCTTCCTTATTTGTAGTTGTCCTCTTGCGGCTGCGCATCGCAACGGACCACAGCATCGTCAGGCCTCTCCAATGCGGCAACTGACCCACATCGTACCGACTACGAAGACTTAAGTGACACGGTACGTCTCCTGTGAACCCAAGATAGATAGATAAATAATTTTTATTAAAGACCCGTCGGGGTCCCATCAAAGCAAGTTAAAATAAAGTTACATGCGAGTTTTAGACGAGGTAGACCGAATCTTTACAAAATGCAATTCCTAGTTTCTGAATTAGAAGTCCATTGTGAAACATGATGATTGAGGGGTGAAATAAAAACTCCTTACAAAAAGTTAAAAATGATTGGATTAATTTTACGGGAGAAAAAAATCCCCTCACTAAAAATAATGATAGAAAAAAGCGAGCAGGACTGGCCTGTAGGTGGCGGTATATAACGGAATGTTGCCGGTCATCGTCAGGGTAGCAATAAATCTCAGCCTTGAGGGGTACGAATGTGGGTCAGACAGGACTGGCTTGCATGTGGCATTATATACGGGATTCACAATTGAGATCGCCTGGGCCGGATTGATACGCCGCGTCAAAGAGGCCAGACGAGAGGAACCCAGATGCGATCGGCTACAGCACGCTTCGAGCTCAGCCGAGCAGTGAGGGAGGTACGACCGAACTACTAGTGTACAGTGAAGACTGAGGGTTACGCCGTGAGTGTC